TTCCTTTTAGTGTACTTACCCCGCCAGCCTAATTGCCCTAGTTAACAAGTTTGGACATATGTTCGTCGACATTTAGGTCATTTGATAATTCTATCTTGAGAACGATTATTTGGTAACAGTATGTCATCATCATTGTCAGTAATCAAAGTCAACACTCCTTCTGAGTCAATTTTATGCGCGACGAGGGGTTGTGGTCATTGCATTACGGTAAGAGCGCTACCGCTCACATGGTTTGTCCTCTTGCGAGCGGGCCGTGAAAGAAGCTCAGACCGAGCCAACCTTTGTCTAAAAGTCGCCCACTTTTCCCTCATTTTTGGGCTGAGACATTGCTGTCACAAGCTTTGAAGGTTGACTTCTCAAGTGCATTACAGGCCTTCTCTATTTTATATCAGGCTTTCCACCTTACTCTATCTTCATGAGGGTGAACCTGACCACCCTTATCATCGTTGGGGTTGCCACCTCGCGACAAATTTTGGCGTCGTAGACAGGATCAAGGTGCGACTTCAAGCAAGCAAGATTAATATTCGTCATCTCTGATTTACAGAATTGTTTAGTGTGTATTTCTTGTTGTCCTCAGACCCCTGATATATTTGTTGTTCTTTCCCTTTTTGGGATATGTATAAAAAAAATGTTGGCCATGTAGGTCAATTTATTGTCCGCTTGTTCCCCAATGTGGCCGACCATTTTTCATGGAGCATATTCCCTCCGTTATTATGATTCAAGTCTAAGCGTCGGCCATATCCATGTGCTGGTGGACTGATCCCTGATCTTGGCATCATTCAAGTCAAGACTACATCTCTCTTCCAACATGTGAATTTATTGTGTATGGCTTATTAATTGTGGTAGCATTTTCCAAATTACACTGACCACATATTTATTTGTAAACAATTGACCACATATGCACTAGTTATTGTGTCAGGAAGTGTTTGAAATTTCTTGTTTATTATAACAAGCTTGACAATCCTGGTCCTTGAGGTTTAAGTTGAGACTACCACTGACGCATATTTGCAAGTACATTTGTACTTGAGTCATTTGTGAACATTCAGATTTGATATTTTAGTGTCTGCACATATGTAATATACATACAGTGTTAATTGACCACAGTTACTGTTAATTGCAGACTACTTTGAGTGTTTTCTACATTGTATTACAATGTATTGAGTTGTACATGAGAGAGTCTTGTGATGGCAGAGGGCAGGATTTGTCGGTCTCATTATTGAGGATTCATCACTTTGTAAGCTGTTATTTCTATGGGAACATGTCAATGTTTAGATTCCCTCTCTAAAACAGCATTGTGTGCCAACTTGATTGGTATCTTTGTATGTATGATCCTCATTAGTGCTTTCACTTAGTATTTAGAGGGCTGTGAATTTTCGAGTCCCTCTTTGTTTTTTGTGAAGCAATATTTTTAATGATTGACAGGTCCATTGCTCCAGTCCCTATTGATTTGTGACCGTGTGTATCGACCCTCTTTGTCTCCAACTAGTGGAGAGTCTATGTAAGTTTGGGCGAATTTTCTGTGGTCCTAGACCCGGTTTGTTTGGTCACTTGTTGTTTAAATATAAAACCACCATATCATTGTTTTGATTCCCTCCTGTTTGATGTGGGAAATTTACTGCAGCTGAACTATTGCAGAATTTATGTTCCTTAGTAGGTAACTATGTAATCTTGTGTACAGATTACACATGGACATTGGTGTTGTAAAAATCAACGTGAGGATTAGCCATAATATTATTTAATCAAAGTTGACATTCCTTCACATATTTTTGTTTGTGTTATTGTAGCCATTGGTTAGGCTGTCAGTCATAATGGCATCTACAGAAGCCCTTATGGATATCATAGTACAGTCACAGAAGGCTCTGACTAGTGTTCTCCAAACATTAATTTGTGAAAACATTCCAACAGTGGATATTTCCATATTTTGTGGCCGACCTAACAATGAAGGGGATCTCACCCTTATGGATTGGTTGGATGATGTTGAAACATACTGTAGGGAATGTCATCTTGAGAATACGGCCAAAGTCAATGTAGCTATTGATCATTTAGGTGGCGTTGCCAGAGAGGAAGTCTTTTGTAGTCCTCCTGAATATCGTAAAGACTTCTCAAAGATTGTTGGAATATTGAAAGCACGATGTGGTTCCCATGAAACCGTTCATTCTCTCCGGCGCATGTTTTATGCTCGGAAGCAGAAACAAGATGAATCATTAGCTGATTTTGGTCGTGCTTTGATGTTGCTGTATGATCGGATAGAAAAAATAGCCTCGAATCCTGAAGAAGGAAAAGCTCTTGCTTGCCTTCGAGAAAGAAGTCTGAGGGAACAGTTTATTGGGGGAGCATTGGATTCATGTGTGCGATTAGAGTTGCGCAGATTAGGAATGAAATATCCTGACCTCACATTCTATCAATTTCGAGACGTGGCTCTTGGGTTGTTTGTAGATTTGAACAAAGCAGCAAATTGCTCGATTTCTGTTGACCCTTATTTTGATCATCCAGTTACCGCTGTAGCGGAGCAGAGTACAAATTGCCCAGGTGACACAATACCTGAGCAGGGGCAAACCAGTGAGCATATCAGAGATATCCCCAAGCCACCAAGTGTTGACCATTCGCAGCAGTCGTTGCGATCTCCCAGTTGTTCACACTTAAAGCAAGGCCATGTTGCTCAAACTTGTATCGAGCACCAATGTCATGAACTTGTAGATGCTAACTATAACCAAGGCCTAGTGAGCAGTTCTTGTGAAACGGGTTCTGATTTCCCTGAATTCGCAATGCCTGCATTGAACATTAAAGCGCAGGAAAAAGCAGGGAACGCCGTTGACCCTCCTGTGATGTCACAAGAGGTAAATGACGATTCCAAACCTCTTGAATGCCAAGATTCTTTGGTAAGCCCAATTGTCAATCATGAAAATGAGACAGACATTGATCTGGGTTACAGTTCCTCTTCAGATATAGATGGGCCGGGTGAAACAACCTCTGAAGTTGTTCTTTCCGGTTGTCAGTCGATTCCAAATTGGTCGCGTAAGGTAGACACAGACACGAGTGTGCAAGCGAAGCCTTCCTATCTCATGCCTGGCGTAGCTCTGCTGCCTGTGGATGAGCTTGGCGCGCAGCGGTCAGAACTTTGTAAAAAACGAACTGGTCGCTGGCCTACCGCAATTACTTAGGTGTGTTTTGAAAAATGTTCAGATGTCTGATAAGTCTCAGATCGTGTTTTAGATAGTGAGATTTGCCTGCTTCCGCAGGATCGCCATTGTGCCATCTCCGGGTTTACGTTGTAATAGCTAGTTTTGAGTTTGCATTATACTTCAATATATGATGCCATATAGTTCGCATATCAGTTAAAGCGATATATTTTGTATTTTCATTACCTTCGGGGTTTACTTATTTTAGGGACTTAAACTGTTTGCTCTTTTTCCAGTAACAAATTGGAGTGAGAGATCCCACAGTTTATACTGAAAGTTATGCTGGAACCTTTTGTACAACAAACTATTTGTAAAGTATGTTTCTTTGAGTCATGTTGCTGATTTGCCCGCTATTCTGCAGTGAGTCAGACTAAGTGACGGGATAGAAAGAAAATGGCAATCTTCTTGTTGGAGAAGTGAAACTACTCAAACATGATTCTTATATTAAGCTTACCAGCAGCGTAATTGTATAGTTAGTTGAATGACGACTTGCATTTGTTTCGATTGTTGATGTTACATTTTTCTAAGTGATCTATACCGTATACATTGTATTTGCATTGTTGATATCTGTATTTATGGGTATTTACATGTTGAGAAAAAAATCCTTGAAATTCTTACATGTTGGTTTTCATGATTGGTAATGCTAATCTAGAACATTTAAAAAGATGTATAGTATGATTGCTATCAATGTGAACATTTTAAATGTTTAAAAGACTACTCGAGGTCGCGTAGTTTGAAGCAGGGAACATGTAACGATATGGGTTTTTGGGTTTAAAATAATGAATAATTCATAAGGAGCATGAATAATGCAATGTTATTTTCTGGCTGTTCCTTTTAGTGTACTTACCCCGCCAGCCTAATTGCCCTAGTTAACAAGTTTGGACATATGTTCGTCGACATTTAGGTCATTTGATAATTCTATCTTGAGAATGATTATTTGGTAACAGTATGTCATCATCATTGTCAGTAATCAAAGTCAACACTCCTTCTGAGTCAATTTTATGCGCGACGAGGGGTTGTGGTCATTGCATTACGGTAAGAGCGCTACCGCTCACATGGTTTGTCCTCTTGCGAGCGGGCCGTGAAAGAAGCTCAGACCGAGCCAACCTTTGTCTAAAAGTCGCCCACTTTTCCCTCATTTTTGGGCTGAGACATTGCTGTCACAAGCTTTGAAGGTTGACTTCTCAAGTGCATTACAGGCCTTCTCTATTTTATATCAGGCTTTCCACCTTACTCTATCTTCATGAGGGTGAACCTGACCACCCTTATCATCGTTGGGGTTGCCACCTCGCGACAGAAATATAAAGCAAATATAGTTACACTGACTTTTTGGAGGTTTTGGGTTCGAAAATGCTATAAAAACCAAGAAAAACGACCATTTTTCTGTAGTCTGGTTCCCTGACTCCATATAAGAAGAAACAGAGCAGTTTACATACATTGGGGAATTGTAAGGTCAGGGAACCAGTCTAGCTGGCTCGTACCCGCTCATAGGTTTGTAATCGATTGCAAACAAGTGCAATGGTTAATTGGGGCCAGTATTTGAAAAAAAGCCAGTTGTTTCCAACGCTGATCGGCCGATCAGCGTTGGAAATTGATACAAAAATACCACTTTTCTTGAAAATGACAGTATACCAGGTGCCATAATTTTACAGGATGCTCTAGACTGTCATTTACCAACATCCTGTTAAGGTATTTCGCAAAAACTTGGTAGTTTTATTTTTCGATGTTTGCAAATGTTGTATATTCCCTTTAAGGTAATTTGGCAGGATTTTTTTTTTGGCGAGAATTTTTGTAAACTGTTGAGTATTAATTTAATGGCAGGACCATTTTTACCAACCGCTGTGGACACTCGTCGGAGCTGGGCTCAAACAAAAAGAACAATCACGGAGGCCGATGAAGGACGTCATGCCCAAAGCCTGCGACTGGATCAAGGAAAAGGCTGTCGAGTTCGACCCTGAACATAACAGCGTCAAGACGTCAGGGGGCAAAGTGGTACAGTATGACTACCTAGTGGTAGCCATGGGAATTCAACTCAACTTTGATCAGGTATAATACCTCCTCCCATGTAACATATCAATACAGCTACCTGAAAGGCTATTTGATCAGGCCCTACGTTAAGAGTGGAATGAATCTAATCAAAGAGATTGGGTTTCAATCCTATACTTTCTTCACACTCGATCCAATCTAGCAGAGTTGTTTTCACGCCAAATGGTCTGGTCCCCATACTTGTGAAATTGCACTCTTAGGAAATACGGAGAGTAGACTAAGTATTTGATAGCGATTTACATAATAATGTCAGATTCTGGTAATGACAATGGATCCTCTGCGATGGATCTGCTCTGCAAAAAGTAATGCAAATTGTATATGTGTAAAAAGAAGGTCTTCAGACATCGCATTTTTTTCAAGGCAATTATTATGTTGTGTATTTATCTAACAGCTTGTTCCTTATAATTGGACTCGTATCTTTTTTTCAACAACGCATTGTTTACCGCATTTTATCACAGCTTAAAGGTCTACCAGAGGCTCTAGAGAATGATCCGATGGTCTGCTGCAACTATTCCTACAACACTGTCGACAAGACGTACAAGGCCTTACAGAATTTTAAGAGTGGCAACGCCATATTTACTTTCCCCAACACTCCGGTCAAGTGCGCAGGCGCTCCCCAGAAAGCTGTATATTTGGCTGATGACTATTTCAGGCAGGTTGGTCAAAAATCAAATATGAATAAAAATAGTTTAATACTTTAAATTTTTGTTATTAAGCCGTTCCTCGGTTTATTTCTTGCCTTCTGTTCGCTTTTTAATTCTCTTCTCTAAAACTTACCACGATAGTCACTGAGTGTATGTGACCTGTTGCCAGAAAATGTGTCTGGGGGACTTTTATAAACTATTTACTTTTTTGTTTAAATGCCTTGCTCATCATGATGTCACTCAATCCGAGGCTAAGCCAAGTCCGAATCTCTTGTCTACAGCTATATATATATAGACCTTATGCGCAGCAGCCATCTTAGAGTGCAATGCCTTTGTTTTGCTGGGATATGAATGAGTGAACGTTTTGTGTTTTCATTGTATTTAACTGAACTCAAAATACAAAAGATGCTCTCTAAGATGGCCGCTACGCATAAGGTCTATTGTCTATAGGTCTCGGCCAATTGCGAATAGGTGAGACTGAACAAAGTGGCAATAGACAACCGTAGCTCTGAAAACCCATTTCTGATAAATATAATGTTTTTGATAAACGCTGACAGATCCAACTAAATGTCATTTTGCAAAATCGAACTGAGCAGCAGCGAATTGACGGACAAAGCTATATACCGGGCCTTGGCCAATTGCTTCCTACTTTTTTGAGGGGGTGGGGCTCCCACAAAATGCTTATCAACAGTTTGTCCAGGTATCCTCAGTGAATTACAATAACTCACTTTGATTTTTACGTCACCGACATAAAAAAAAAAAACATGTACATGTTTTTCAATTTTTGGGGGTTCTTATATATCCAGCGCCTGATGGCATATGTGTTCCGGCAAGCTCTAATCAATTTTGAATGTTTGCTATTATGACGGGTTTTCTCAATATTAACGTCGGTTGATAGGGAAAGCTAAATATTGGACAAGGTTTGGAAGTCTAAATAAAAAATGGCCAATTTTCTCGATCATTCGCAGTAACGTGAATAACAGTGTGACCTGACCTTGTCCGCCCCTACATGCCCAAATAATCACAAACATGTCAGCTCTGCCACGTATAATAACCAATAGGAAACACACAAAAGATTCAGTTTTGTTGGCCTTCATGACAAAGCATTGTTGCATTTACAATCATAGGTAAAAGTGCAAAGCCCTGGCAACTTCAGATCCATTCAAGTTTCTCGTCATACTAATTGTGATATCTCAGCCAGCTATGAAGGTAATCAGATTATTAGAGTGTGTACAAACTACGTTTTATGACTGTTGTCTTTCCAATTTCAGCACAACAAACGTGACCGAGCCACTATCACGTACTGGTTGCCCCTGCCCTCCATATTCTCCGTTGCCCAGTACGAGGCTGTCTTCACAGACATCTGCAAGAAGCGAGACATCCAGGTCAACCTTCTACACAATCTGGTCGAGATCAAACCAGAGAGCAAGGAAGCTGTCTTTGCCAAATTAGACACTGAGCCTAATGAAATGATTACTGTGCCTGTGGGTATTCTTCTATTTGTTGTTTTCAACAATATGGGATGGTTAGCCACGCACCCCTTCCCACCCAACCGCATACTTTAAAATACAAATGCATGTATTTTTACGAGATCATTAATCACTAAATTGTGTGTGTGTGTCAAACTCATTGATAGACCTAGCTAATGATTTTTTTTGGGTATTTTTAATTAGTACGAAATGCTGCATGTGCCTCCTCCCATGGGCCCACCAGATATCCTGAAGGCAAGCCCCCTCGCTGGACCAGCAGGGTTTCTTAGTGTCAACAAGGAAACGGGACAACACACCAAGTACCCTAACGTGTTTGGTATCGGTGACTGCACTGACTTCCCCACTGCTAAAACACTAGCGGGTGTAGGTAAGATTTTGTCCAGTCTGTATATTTATTCTAAAGGCAACATTAAAAAAGTTATGAATGCTGGAAATTCTTTTTTTCTTTTTTTTTAAATTTGTCCTTTGCATATAGCTCAACAGACCGGACCCATTCTGCAAGCCATAAGTGCGGTCGAAAATGGACTGACTCCCGTTGCCAAGGTATAATGTCAACGTCTGAAGCCCAGTTCATACTCGACGCAAAAACAAAAGCGAACGCGAATTTGTGACGTCGTGGCAAGTATTCGCCTTGCGAATTCGTAAAGTTGAACATACTTCAACTCCCCCGAATTTCGCAGCGAATGTTTCATGACGTCAAATTCGCTTCGCATTCGCTTTCGCACGAAGTATCAACCGGGCTTAAGGGCCGCAGGGTTCATACTTCACAGGAATGCAAAGGCGAAGCGAATATGACGTCACGAAATATTCGCAGCCAAATTCGCCGAAGTTGCAATGTGTTCGATTGTGAAGCCCGGTTCATACTCGGCGCGAAAGCGAACGCGAATTTGTGACGTCGTGGCAAGTATTTGCGCTGCGAATTCGTAAAAGTTGAACATATTTCAACTCGGGCAAATTTCGCAGCGAATGTTTCATGACGTCAAATTCGCTTCGCATTCGCTTTCGCATGAAGTATGAACCGGGCTTAAGCCTACTTATGTTGCGAATTCGCAGCGCGAAAGGTTGCCGTGACGTCACGAATTCACATTCACTATCGCGCTGTGTGTGGACCGGCCAAGTATAATTATTGTAAAAGTACATAAAAATGACTTATCGGGTTTATAGGCATTGGGATAATTTGCATTTATCCAAAATGTATACCTACCGAATTATTATCAAAAAGCTTACTAGGATTTAAGATCGTACTGGTACTAAACATCCTGTGAAACTATTCCATCTGGCTTGCTGCCGTTTAGAAGAAATCAAGAAATGTAGGTGATTTCCAATGATCAGTCAGTTGACTGATTTTTGGAATAAAGAGTGCCATTGACGAAATCATGTTTCATAAATCAACAATTTTTTTTTTTTTTTTTAAATGTTATCATTGATGGCAATAACGGACTTTCATAGTGTGCCAAAAATCTAAACATGTCTGAAACTAAACTTGAAAACAAGTGGGTACACAATTTGAAGCATCATTATTAATTACACATACATTTTCAATTTAGTATGATGGCTACACATCTTGTCCTATGGTAACCAGCGATCGCACCGCCGTTTTAGTCGAGTTTGACTACAACCTGGAGCCGCTGGAGACGTTCCCGTTCGATCAATGCAAGGAGCAACGGAGCATGTATTTCATGAAGGCGCAACTCTTGCCGGCATTGTACTGGCATGGAGTACTGAAGTGAGTATCACCAGACGTTCTGACGACGCACTTATTAGGGCCTACCCATTTATAGAGCAAGATGGGTACACTATGGAAGAACTGTTCTGGTTCATCATGTCCTTTTTGGGTCCATCGATGAAGATGACGCATAGGCCTACAGACCTACAATTTCGGCATCCAGCAATAAAAGTCAAGTGTGACTACACTGTAAAATGGTTGGATACAACACTGTTGGGCAATGTAATTTACCGAGCATTGGTATGAAATTACCTCATATTGGGTTGAATTGGGTAAAAACTGTCAAGTATTGGGACAAAAATAGAGTGATAGGCAGTTGATAACTCGACCATCATTGGTCGAATTATCAACCCATTTTGCCCAACTTTTATACAGTGTACGGCTGATCATGCATGATGCGTGTAGGCCTAAGCATACGTGAGGTCGTGTGAAAAATGTTGGTTTCGGTATCGTGCATCTGAGTATAATGTACGTATATTGCTGCTGCATGAGGAAGCCAAAAGTTATCATTTTTATGGCACACAAATGCTCAAAATTCGCTACACGCCGTTCGAAATTCACCATTGAGAGTTTCCAGTTACAATCCCACATAGCTGGTACATCATTAAATTAAGAAAGAGGTTGATCTGATTATTAAATTGGAAGAAATTATTTTGAGCGAAACGACGGAAATTCTTACGCACTGATCCCGTATCAGTCGGCTTTCAGTGCGTTGTTCCCATGTCACTTTCTCGTATATCACGTCTGCGCAAACCGCACGAAGTGATGACGCCACACATACAATTAAAATAGGTGATACGGGCGCAAATTTGAAACCTGTCGAACTATTCACAAGAAGCCCTTTGTCGCTTTGTCGGGAAATTACCACCCCTGTAAAGTCTTGGATTTCATAAAGTTCAAGTTCGATCGCTTTTCTGAGATAAAAAGGATTGATAAGTATCAATTTTTCGATATCAGCCCTATAGTTATGGTTATACGCGTCATTTAAAAAACATACCAAATATATATTTCTGAATGAAAAGAAAGCATACTGGGAACACCAACGTATAGACACAAGAACAACATAAATTATTTTTGTTCACAATGTGACTAAATTTACTTACTTCACCTTTTGAAACAACATTTATTAATGGTACCTCCATGCTTTCTTAAGACAGAAAATATGTAGTAAATTAGTATTAATTGAACTATTTTTTTATTCCTCGAATACACCCAATATAGGCATTGTAGCTCGCAAACCTAGGGAAACCTGTATAGAGACAACGAAGACATTACAGTTTTAGAGGTGGGAGAAAACCCCAGATAAAGAATAGTCGGGGAACCCACAGAATCGGGTAGGGGCTGAATCCTCACGTAGACCAAGGCAGGAATCGAACCCTGGCCGTAGAGGTGGAAGGTGAGGAAACAAAACTGCGCCAACCTAACTAAAAAAATATATGATGTTAGATACCAAAATGTCCCCTTTCCAATTGTGCGTTCAAATACTGCATGGTAGTTTCTTCATAATGGGATCCGATATTATGTTTGTAACCTTCGTGGATGTTTTTAAAATATTTTAAAAAAAATTAATTCGTATCCTTTTCTTTTCAAACAGGGGCTTATTTCACGGGCCTAGTACACTGCGGAAGCTGATGCATCTTGGTTTTTCCAAGTAGAGAAACGGAAATGACGTTACAGGCATATACCCTAAAATAGATTCAACAAATAATTTGATCATTGTAACTGTTCATCCATTTTTGGATAGTTTGATGTAATTGTTACTATTTTGTAGCAGTGAACCAAATAATGTGGCACCTTTCGCATCAAAGCTGGAATTATAATTCGCAGCGCGGCGTTTCGTTTTCCTTAAAGTGCCATGCAATATAATGTTATAAAAGGAGTCCTTGAAAAAAAACATTTTGTATCCCATTTAACTTATTTAAAATTTTTGTTTTGCCATTTTCAAGGATATTTTGATGCCCTTATACTGATACATATTTCCATATTCATGAGAAAACGTGTGGTGTCATTTTAGGCAGAAACCTCATTGTTACATTTCGGCACGGCAGGTTGCCAAAATGTGGGAGATTTTGCTGTCATAAATTTGATCATGATTCGTTGTTTTGTCAGTACATGACAGTAGGCCATTGAGCAAACTTTTCTCACAGATGTTTGCTATGAGCAAATTTTTGGATTCACGATTTTAACAGAAAACCCCTAAACTGAACACTGTCTTCCTGAAATGACATCACAGTAGCAGCGCCCTCAGTGTCTGGAAAAGCATGTACACCATCTTCCCATGTGGGCGCTGTTCAAAACATTTATCATAGGCCAAGTTCGGGCAAGGACCATTAGTCGACTAGTGGTTGAATTGTGACGTACCTTAATACGCCTGCGCACTAATATCAACGTGCGAACGTCTCTAGTCGAACGCTGGTCAAAATGTCATAGCAAAACTTCTGGATCCTGGCTCTCTGCTAGCGTTATGAATGCGCGCGGCTATTGGTTACCAGCGAAGCAACCAACCCCAGTAGGCTGGTTCCAAATAGTCGACTAGCGTAGTCAACCATCGTCGACTAGACAGAGTTCTGGCAAATGTTAGTTAACCATTGGTCAACTATAGTCCTTGCGCGAACTTGGCCTCTGTTAATGTTTTACAATAACTACCGCTAATTGCTTTCCATGGACGTTAAAATAAACAGCCACTCGCAAAAATAAAGTTTTTGTGTGAAAAGACTCACAAAATCAAGAAAAACGGGAGTTTGTGTTTTTCCAGCTAATCATGGAAACTATACGACTGTGCTTTTCCTGCGGATGCCAAATTTCAAGTTGGGGGGGGGGGCGGGGGCGACTGGGGGGCGCGAACATTTTATTGAGGCGTGCGCCCCCACGACCCCCGTAGCTACGCCGCTGCTCCAAGGTAGTTTGCCACCATCTGATCTTTTATATATAAGCATGGGCATCGCGAGGGGGGGGGGGGGGGCAAGGGGATAGGCCCTATAGATGGACTATTTATCATTGAGGTTTTGTATCCTATATCAAAAGCACAAACAAAGAAGTGCTAAGTGATATTGCTGTTTATTTAATGGGTTGGGGCGCAAATGTCCCTGCCCACCCTCGAAAAATGATAATCGAGAATATGCTGGAAGAGTACAGAGATATCGGGGGGGGGGGGGTGTGCTTTGCCCCCCCCCCCTAGAAAAATCCTGGCGACGCCCATGCTTATTAATGCTTGAAAAAACATTACAACTATTACATTCTCTCTTATAGACTATATACAAAACATAAAATAAATAGTCACTATATGGCCTATCATATTTTAATTTTACCGTATATTTCAATCTAGGTTTACTAAAGAGAAATTTTATGATAATATGTGCTTACTAAACGAACTAACCTCTACCACTTACCGGTACATAATGCTACTCTGAATATCGCATTCAAGTTTTAATTCGGAAGTCTAAGAAAGTCTGAAACGGAAGGGTACGGCACAAGCACTGCATAATATTTAAAAGTTCAGCAAATAAACCGTTTTAACACGACGCGCGGCACCGAAACATTTTCCCACCACCAATTTTTAATTCAAAGTTGACACAGTTGGCAAAACTATCATAACATTTACTCTAATACAGGCATTTAGTTTTAAACGTCTTGTTTTGTGTTCAATATTGATCACGGAACGGGCGGTCGATCGAACCATTCGTATGGAAATGACTTTTCGTTGTTTCGACAGATGAATGCACATAATGAGCAACGCTACAAAAAGCGCTACAAAATGGTTTGTTTTCACTGCAAAAACTGTGCTTAGCAATTAAACACTTTTCTTAACACTTTATTTCCTATTAATGTAAACATGTTTAATACTTAACATGCTTAGAGTGAGGATGGATAGTGTTTAGCAATTGAACAATGATGTCTAGGAATTGAACACATAATGTTTAGCTTCTTAGCAAAATTGTGTTGAATTGCTAAACACATGCAGTTTTTTAGAGTGTTCATAGCCCAGTAGTGTCCTGATCATGAAACCTTCCTTTATTCGACGCATGTGTTTGGGAATTTTCGTCTGGGGGACTGCCTACACGTGAAGTGCTAATAGCAAATTCCGTGAAAGGTCTAAGTAAAATACTACTCCATTTTTTTAAATGAATGAAAACAGAAAGTTGTCAGGACTGATAAAATCTACAAAAATCTATAAAAAGAGTGGAATTCATGGGTCGTCTTGCCAAATCTACGCCGCGGGTTGCCTACAAGAATACATTTGCTCGACATCTGCAATGACACTTGGTGTAGCCAAGGTAGCTCCACTCTGCATGTCGATGCCTGCAACTGACAAGCCAGACCAAGTGGTCTCCTCAGCGAAGATGATGTAGTCCTTCGCTCCCGCGACTTCACTGGCGGAGCACATGCCGCCGTCATAGCCAAAATTACTCACGTAGAGCAACCTGGTGCTGAGCCCGCCTTTGTAGTAGCACTCGACCTCAAAGGTAGCATCATAAAAGTCGAGGAAGGAGAAGGCAGATCGAGAGATGCTGCTCACCTTACCTCGGAATACAATCGAAGCTTGTTGCAGCCTTTCCTGGAAACTCTGCGGTCTCCAATTCTCGGGAATATCACAAGCTTTGCCTGGGACTACCGCAATGGACAAACAGATCAACAGAATAGCACCAACGCCCTGCATGGCTGATGTCTTTTAAACCTGTAGCAATAGGGGGGGGGGGGATAATGAGATAGCTGGTTTTGAACTGTTAACCCAAAATATTACATCGAACACGCAATGAAAACATACGTATATTAAGTGGAGACTTGGTCCATCAGATTTCTACTGTGAAACAACATTTACTGTGATCTCAGGATTAAACATAACAACTCATTCCAAATATGCAACCGGAACACAGTGGCACAATAAGGAACACCGTTCACGTTCACACAACTTCCAAAGAAAAATCCAAATGAATTTGATTTTCCTTCTCAAATATAGTTGCTTGAATATAATACTCCGCTCGTGCACCTTAGTTCATGCCTTGTCAATATTTTTTAACACAGCCGCACTGTATGTATTTGTCGAGGCCCAATCGAGGGTCCGAAGGTCCGATAGTCCGAAGGTTTTGACTCGAAGGTTCGATAGACCGAACACATGCACAGTTACCATTACCCAGGTGCTCATTGTTCGTAAATGAAATAAAGTTCGTTCATCCGAGTATTTGATGCGGTAGTCGGAAGGTTCGTTAGTCCGAATTTTCGACAATAATTCAAAGGTTGTCCGAAGGTTCGATACTCCGAACTTAGAATAAAGTATAACAATTAATCATTATTAGGTGTAAGGTTCAATAATTTATAGTCCGAAATGAAAACAACGTTCAGTAGTCCGAAGGTTCATCAATTCGATCGAAAGGTTCAAACACACGTCCGAACTGACAATGTTTAACGCTGTCAATTCGGACTGTTATAGTGTCGATTGGGACTATATAGAACTTTATCGTCTATTCGGACCATCAAATCTTCCCCGACGTCTATGAACTGCTATGTTCCATCTTCAGTGGGGTCAGGAGGCCAGACCACAAGAACTTCATGATTGTTTTTTTTTTTGGTGTTTTTTTTTAGCATAGCAACAAACACAAAACTTCAAACAAGTGCAACAATATTTGCTATAAAATACTAACCCCCTAAATCCATCCATCTCTGAAAATTACAGCAAAAGCAAATTTTGTATATTCCTTTAATCTCTTTGGATTATTAACGATCCTTCGGACTATCAAACAATCGGACTATCGAGCGGTAACCTTTGTTTGTCGAGTGGGAAAAAAACCCAAGCTTACCGTGTTTTGAAGGGTGCTTTACGCTCGCCACAAAGTCGTCAAGTGGGATCCTCGCTTCACAAGAAAACAACTTGTTCATCAGCTGACGCTCAAAATGTGACCATTATATAGACTTTCCTCCCAGTGTCGACCATATGTTGATGAAACTTAAACTGAATGTGATACTTCAAATGACAGTCATGTTTCCCCATCAATTCAGAACAAAAGTGAAATAATCTGTTGGCTGCAAGTACCAACAAGCCCCCGCTCCGTCAATTGACCTGTTGTTGTCCATTTATTGCACTTTTGTTACGAGATTGAAGTAATGTATGACTGTCTTTGTGAATTATTATCGACTACATGTCACGGTACGGACAGCCAAGTCGTCAAGAGAGGGCGGAAGTAGGAGAATTTGAAAAGCAAGGGGCGGGTTGGGGCGCAGGAACGCATGTACATGTACACAGTACAGTACACGCCCATTCCTAAGCGGAACTCAAATGAAACTTTTCGGTCCCTACTTTTTACTGATTTTGATTGTTAATTATCCATACTAATACTGCAACACTTAATTACAATGATTTTTTTTTTAAAAATCGACACACAAAAAAGAAATTTCTGAAAAGCTCTTCCCCATAGCGAACTTGACTCGAAACACAGGTCACGTCCTTCACATGCACACGCGCAGCGACTGTGCGAGACGTCATGTTTGGGAGACGATCGACCTCAACCGGCTGACTATGTCGGGTACCTGAACGCACATCATCATCGCACGCGCTGTGTACGTACATGTACGTTTGTGTGCATTATGTACACATTGTTTTAACTTTTATAGTCCAACAAATACGCGGGAAAATGGCTGAAAGTGAAAGCGACAGCGATAGCTCTTCATGCTCTTGGGAAGATTTTAGCGTCGATTCAGAAGGATATTCTACGGAAAGCAGTTCATCTAGCGACGATAATGACAGCGATTATGTCCAATCTGACGACGATGAAATCGTCGTTCGTGGAGTCCAACCGTACATGTTCGAGCCGCTCCAGGAACCGGGTGCAAAAATGACGGCGAAGCTGACGGGCATGACGGGGCGCAGGCAGACGATGATCGGCGAGTTCGTCTTCAGAGTACGGATTGGTAGGCCTGTTATTATTTTGATCACCATTATTTTAATTGCCAACACCCTTTATTTCCATACCCTTTTGAGTACAAAGTGTTGCTAAAAGGGGTATTCATGCCCGTTGGTCATGTGGGGGAATTTTTCTCTTCCAACGGTCCAAGTTTCACAGAACGAAATTGTGGTGGCGAGTTAGGCCCTATAGCTTTATCTTGAGTTTTATACACACTCGTACCCCTTACAAATCCATGAAAGTTTCTAATTCTATTGGAGCTGTTTATGATGTAGTTATTCTGTTATGTCAGTGTATGTTAATGAAGGACAAACATGTCGATTATTAAAAAATATACACTTTTCAAATTAATATTTTCACTTAATATGTTCACTTAGGTGTTTCTGGCATCTTTCAAGGGAAATCCAACCATCATGACAAATGTTCGTGCCACTTTCCATTTTTCCCTCAACTTCACGCTGCAAATTACAAGATACATTTGTATCTCCCTTTTTTTAACCAAAGGTGTTCTTGTGGAAACTGCACAGTTATGGAGTCGGTGGAGAATTGTCTGTGCTGCAAGGAGGTTCCGACCATCCAGCAAAAAATTGAACACACAGGAGTTGATCCGGACACTCTGAGTTGTTTTACGGACCATCCATGGTACGAGGCCACCTGCTTGAATCCAGGAACACTAGAGACAGCGTACTATCAGTACAGACAGCAATACGGTGCACAAGCTGTGAAGGGTGACAGGGCAAGGTAGGCCCTACTGGTACTATAATGTACATGACATTTTGTAATAAAAAGAATAACTTCATAAAAAGTAACAAAAATATATCATGTTTTTTTCATATTGGAAGGACTTTGTTGAAGTACATGTTCAACTTCACGTATCCTTCTAAAGAAAATGCACGTACGTACATGTTGCACCTTTAAACTGACAAATTTCAGTATAAGACCATCCCTGTTAGTATTGCAATGCCAGTAACCTTTATCAACGAAGCATATATATGGGCAATTCCACGATGAGGTTACTCACGTTACATGTTAAGTGACTTATCTTTGACTTACTCCTTGATCAATCATTCTTGAAGGACTCCAATTAACAACTGTGTTAATAGAATCAGTAAGTATACCTCAGAAGATTCCTTGAAATGCATGCAAATATGCAAAAAAGTGATTACTCACGTTACAAAATAGACACCTACCCATGGAATTGCCTATATACATATTAGCTATTTATTCAAACTAACTTTTTTCTACATACCTATATTTTTATACAGCAAATACCGACGCATGTCCCATCGACAGGTCGTCAGGTGGTGCTGGGGGTTCCTGGGAAGGCAAAACCGTGTACCTTTGCCTTCATGTGTAATGAACAAGACACGAGCTGCTTACCCTGGACCAGACGGGAACTACAAAGGTGTTAAATATCCAGATTTAGATGAAAAGAAGAACAATCGTGATTAAAATTGTATTCATCATTGCTTTTGAATCCAAATTTAAAAATGTTCTTACGGCAGTGTTGCTTATTGACATTTTTTGAGGGACCCAAAACTTTTTGTTCCATATTTATTTTTATATAACAATGAATGTACATTAACATAATTTTAGAGAACCCACAGAAATTTACGGAATACTATTCCAAAATTGTTCCCGTTTCAAATATGAAAGACACATTAATAATTTGTAAAGGTACTAATTAAAAAAAAAAATCGTCTGTCTCATTCGGAAAGAGTCCTCAATTCTCAAATACGAAGGTCAATATACAGGTATTGAATATTATAATGGTTTCCAGCACCAATAAATTCCTTTGTCAATGATAAAGATTGAAAACCTTGAATATGATACGGGGCCATAGGTTGCTAATAATCGATGTGTTATACATGGTGAAATATAAATCATGGAAACGGTTGAGTTCCCAGTACTTCAATAAAATTTCTCATTCGAATTTGAAGTGCATGTACATGTACATACATTTCTTTTTTTCTTTTTGGTTTGTTTGAGCATTCTCCGCCATCCATTTCTTCAGGCGGTCTTTTGCCTGCTTTTTCCTTCTTCTCACGCTTTATTATTTTGTGCTTAAATATTATTGAAAACATTTTCATTAAAATGCATTCAAATTAATACAAACATTTTTGGTTTCAGTATCCATCTTATCAAATAGCTTTTGGCATCCAAAGTCATCACTAGATGGACAATACCTAACTTTGTCCCACAATTTGAAAAAATCTAAAATCGCACAATTATTGATGTACATTTTGTAATTGTATAAATGCTTTGTATGCAGGATTGTTAAAAAGTACTTTAAAAATAGGTGAATATCACAAGCGGTGTTTCATGCCCGAGACTGGCAAATTAAAATAGGGATTTTTTTTGAAAACCAAATACATTGTAATACAGTTCTGCATGTGTGGACCTACACTTCGCACATTCTCTTCAGCCAGACATGGCTTGATGCACATCACGTGATGACCCGTACTTTTTTTAATTTATGCAATATTAGACTTTCCCTCCTATTTTCTGCTTTGTCAACAATGATAGAAGTGTTGTGCTGTGTTGTCATGGTTACATGACCACTCACTGAAATAGGTTGAAATCCTGCCATAGGTCGTTTGTTCTAATGGCAGTAGTAATAATTGCTATTGAAAGTACATGTATTAAACATTGCCTGATGCGTTTGGTGCAGCACGGAGAAAGTGCACTGCTCATAATTTTCATATGAATTAGATCGGACACAATGTGTTGTGGAGAAGTTGTCATCTTAATATCATTGGCAATCCTAAGCGCTATCTTGAGCTTGTCTTCATCATGCAACCGACGCAATTGGCTTTGCACTGCTCCCTGGAAGAAATGGGGTGGATCTTGCTACCTCAGCACTCAAAGGCATCTGACGTACGACGACGCCCGTGAAGCCTGTCGTAGACAGGTGGCAGCGCCGCGCTCAGACCAGGAAAACGACTTCCTGGCAAGCCTGGCCCAAGGCAGTGTGATTTGGGTGGCTTGCACTGATCGCAGGCAGGAGGGGCTGTGGGAGTGTGAAGGGTTTCAAGATGGTCAAGGAATCTTTGCCAACTGGAGGAAGGGGGAGCCAAATAACTGCGGAGTGCGGGAGGACTGTGTCTATTTACAGCTATCATATAAGTGGAATGACGTACGGTGTGAGATTGAGATACAGGCGGTTTGCAAGCGATAACCTATTGGATCCTGCTTCACTACCAACAACGAAGGGCGGCTTGAACTTGACTCTTGTCTCTAAATCCACATTTGGAGCGATTTTCACGCGGATTTAAATTACGTTGGTGTGTCGTGCCTGAGATAGAAAACCTACACAGATGATGAACACATCTCAAGTTTATAAAATGCCTTGTTTTGTTTGCATCTTTGTGGCACTGTTCCTAAGCGGTATCTTGAGCTTTTCTGCAACATGCAACCAGAGCCAAGGACTCAGTGCACTGTTCTCTGGAAGAAATGGGGTAGATCTTGCTACCTCGTCGACCAAAAGCCTCTAAACCTGCCGTAACTGGGAGCCAAGATGGCAGCGCCACACTCAGACCAGGAAACGCGACTTCATGGCCGGCAAGCATGGCCCAAGGCAGTAAGATTTGGGTGGTTTGCACCCGCGATCGCAGGGAGGAGGGTGAGTGGGAGTGTGAAGGGTCTCAAGATGGTCGAGGAATCTACACCAACTGCATGGAGGGAGGGGGAGCCGAATCTATCAAGGGCGGGAGCACTGTGTTAAAAAAGGCCAGTAGACAACAAGTGGAACAGTTTGTTTCGACATGCCTTTATTTGAACACAAATAATTCTAATAAACAACTGTTCATTTGAGGTGATAACAATATACACATACACTTATACATCACTAGGCCTACATAAAATATCTGAGGGGCGCGTATCCACGTCTTTTGGTAGCGACACACTCCTGTGACTTTGCTGAGTTTATACAGATGATCCAACTTGACGATATTGGTTCTCGGTTGGTTCCCAGTCCAGTGATCTGCTGGGTATATGCCGGATCCAACTTGGCCAGGATTTCACCGTCGTCCTTTGTCGGTAACCGTATCACTGCTATCGGCTCGGTGACTGGCACGTACGGCGGGTATCGATTCCCCAAGCGAAATCTGAAACGGGTGGTGACTGATATAAATGAACAATATGTCCGCAGCAAGAAACATTACTTGTCACACAGCCTTCACATCTCACTTCGCTTTTATACGGATCATAACTAACGTCAAAAAAACTATAATTGACATTTCATCGAAATCATCATTTCTTGATTTCTTCTAAATGACATTGACAGCAAGCCAGACGGAATAGTTTCACAGGGTGTTTAAGTATACGATCTTAAATCAGAGTAAGCTTTTTGATAATAATTCGGTATCATTTCGAATAAATGCCAATTATCCCAGTGGCCTATAATATAAACCCGATAAGTCATGTGTTATAACGTCACGTTTGCAATATTATACTTGGATGTCATGTAAGAGGCTTTCGTATACGATGCCTCAACAAGTATAACATACATTCACAAATCTAAACATGTCGTTGGTTCAAATAGGTGAAACAATTCAGTGGGTACAATTCAGTGTGGAGACATTAAATTCAATTAAGTCTCTAAAACAACTGAGATTTCTTTTCCACAATATAATGGCATATATATTTTGAAACTGACGGGAGATATCTACAAACAACAACTCTCTCCAGTGCCCACCAGTTGCCATAACACAAAAGTGATGGACTGTAACTTTCCACCATCCGATAAAACTACAGATCACTAGATATACGTGGGAAAACATCCGTTGTTTTAACACCCCAACCTATATTTTCGGAGGCACGAGTGTCCGGAGAAAAAAGGTCTACGTTTCAGCAAACCTCCCTGAATTGGTTTTCTAGATCTACTCCAGCCTGCTAGCCCTTCTAAAATATAGGCTCCCAACCGCGCGTCTGCTGGAACTTCACTGTCCTATCAAAATTCGGGGAAGCAAGCAATCCAGTCATCGGGGACATAATGCATGACTATCTATATATATAAGAGAGAGTTTAACTCGGCCTCCGAGACGATGTTTGCTCATGAAAGGATCCCAGATCGTGGGCTCCCGCGGCGCCAAAATCGCTCCACGTCCGTGGAAAAATGCGGAGGGTGTCTTCAGCCGGGTCGGACACTTCGGGTCGTCCTGATTTTCCGGTACGGACCGGCGATCCGTTTCGTCGATTTTTCGTGACTGCGTTTTGCGCAGGAATTTGCCGTCGTGTGCGCTTTCACGTTGACTGCCTGGCCGCCCCCTGTGCTGGCCTTTCTGCGTGTCTAGACTGTGCGAGGTCAGCGAGGTCAACGTAGGGGTTTCGTTTACGTGTTCTACACGGCCGTACTGCCAAAGCGTTCACCAAACGGTAGTAAGGGGTGACCTTGGCAAAATATTTTTTCTCCATGGTGCGTGGCCACCAAGTGTCCCTATTCTTTTCTGTGCTTTGCTTGCCGCCGCTGCGCCGAGTGCAACGAATACTCAGAAGGACTACACATTAGTATGCCTTGCGCGGTCTGACCAATCGAAAGTCTACACTGTGTGGTACTTCCCGGCTATGCGTAAAACCGTCGATGGCAACGCGTACTGCAGCCTGCTCCACACCCTGGAAACGAGGTTGAGTCTACGGTGCTCGCTATTTGAAGCGCAAGCATGTGACGTCGCGCGCGTGATAGAGTGCTGTTGCTTCCATAATGTGTTTACAGCTCCATGCTTCCACCACCAAGGCTGAGCGTTGTGAGTTCGCTGCCCGCCACGTATAATTCAGTGTCGCGTTATAATTTCGGGGGCTGTTTGGGATCAACGAAGTCGGGTCGTCCTCATTTTCCCGTACGGACTGGCGATCCGTTTCGTCGATTTTTCGTGACTGAATTTTGCACAGGAATTTGCCGTCGTGTGCGCTTTCACGTTGACTGCCTGGCCGCCCCCCGTGCTGGCTTTTCTGCGTGTCTAGACTGTGCGAGGTCAGCGAGGTCAACGTAGGGGTTTCGTTTACGTGTTCTACTCGGCCCTTCTGCAAAAGCGTTCGCCAAACGTTAGTATGTGGTGACCTTGGTAAAATATTTTTTGTCCATGGTGCGTGGCCACCAAGTGTCCCTATTCTTCAATATGCTTCGCTTGCCGCCCCTGCGCCGAGTGCAACGAATACTCAGAAGGACCGTACACATTAGTATGCCTAGCGCGGTCTGACCAATCGAAAGTCTACACTGCGTGGTACTTCCCGGCTATGCGTAAAACCGTCACTGGCAACGCGTACTGCAGCCTGCTCCACACCCTGGAAACGAGGTTGAGTCTACGGTGCTCGCTATTTGAAGCACAAGCATGTGACGTCGCGTGATAGAGTGCTGTTGCTTCCATCATGTGTTTACAGCTCCATGCATCCACCAAGGCTGACCGTTGTGAGTTCGCTGCCCGCCACGTATAATTCAGTGTCGCGTTGTAATGGGGGCCTGTTTTGGATCAACGAAGGATCGATACATTGTCTTAAACGCTGTCACAAAAAAATCGACAAAATAGTGTCTGACCCGGTGGAACACACCCTCCACATATTTCCACGGACGTGAAGCCGCGGTCTCGGATCCTTTCAGAAGCAAACATTTCTCGGAGGCCGAGTAAAACATGCTCTTATATAGATGGTTGAACCAACTTGAATAAAAGTTGACTCGACTTTTTCCTCGCAGACGGTCTCGCAAATTGTAAGAAGTTCAAGTCTACGTTTGTTGAAGAGAACAGTACTGAAACTTAATTATGACCTTCCTCCATGATTCAGACCGTTTGTAATTTTATGGTAACACTCAACATTTTCATTTCAAATGACACCTTCACGTTTTATTGCATTATGATTTATTGTCAAAACTGTACAATCAGCCTTCGCCTGTGTACTACAGTAACCTTTTCACTACGTTTTCCAAATGCGACTGATTCTATTGCTCAGAATACATGTAGCTGATTCAATTACTCCAAACTCAAAACTTTAAAAGATGATCTTCTGCTCAAATTGGTTTCAGTGGTCAGAAATTGCCTCAGATCACACCACAGAAATTGCTATAGCACCAAAAATAATAATGACTGGAAAGCCAATTTCATAAGCTACCTTTGGGTGAAAAAAATTACTGAAATTGGTCAATCCGTTCACAAAATATCGCCATTTTAAACACAATGACCTAAACACAATCGTCGTCACAATTGTCTTCATTCATCACCAGCGATGAAATCTTGGTTTAAACGTTAACACTATGCAACAAAGTCCTTTTGAAGGCCCGTCTTTTAAAAAGTAGATTTTATAAATCATACTGTCATACTAACCAGGGTTGTTAATATAAATATTGTGTGCCACAGTTGGTGACAGTTGTTGAAACAAGTATTCTGTGTCATTTTCTTTGTTGTTCCAAACAGTCAAAACACACATTTTTTTGAACGAGACAGGTTTTAGGGTCATTGCGTTTAAATGGTGATATTCTTTGAACAGATTAAGCAATTTCAGTAAGTTTTTTTTTATCTAAAAGTAGCTTTTGAAATTGGCTTTCCAGTCATTATTTTTGGTGCTACATATTTTATTAAATGTGATGTACATTTTGGGGGTTTGGGTTCCGCTTTTGTGACTCACCCTGTATGTAAAGAAATTTCTAATTACTGAATTGTACCATCTCTTTTTACCTATAATGAATCCACGACATGTTTAGAAATGTATGTTACATGTTGAGGCATCGTACGAGAGCCTGCTACTTTCATGACCATGTGAGCATAATTGTAAAAGTACATTAAGAAAATGACTATATCGGGTTTTAAGGCATATGGGATAATTTGCATTTATCCCAAATGTATACCTACCAAATTATTATCAAAAAGCTTACTCGGATTTAAGATCGTACTGCATGAGTACACCCTGTGAAATAAAACTATTCCGTCCGGATATTGCAGTCATTTAGTAGAAATCCAGAAATGTAGGTGATTCCCAATGATCAGCCTGAGTCAATTGACTGATTTTTGAATTAAAGAGACAGAGTGCTATAGTATAAACAAAATGATAGGTATCGGGTCCGATGATGGTAACCAGCGATCGCACCGCCGTAAGTTACTCAAGTTTGACTCATGGGCGTCGCCAGGTTTTTTTCTGGAGGGGGGCAAAGCATGCGCACATTGAGACCAAAGACAAGTTCTTTTAGAACTTACAGCAGGACTGTTCTAAACAGAACAAAAACTACTTAGCAAGTTGATAATAAGCAGGACAAGTTCTTCTCAGAACTAATATCTTCTAAGCAGTAGTTATTACCACATGGTGTTACCGCAAAACCGAAACGATACCGATACCCCACCATGCAAAGCCTCAAATCTTATATGCGCACATTATTTCCCAAAATCCTTTAACTTTTTCCTAGTATATATTCTCAATGTATCGTTTTTTCAAGGGCGGGGGCGAGGGGACATTAGCCCACTGCACCTCCATTGACACCCCTGCGGACGCCCACCTTTTTGCATTTAATTAACAGCAATATGACTTCGCACTTTTTTTCGGGTGGTGGGGGGGATTTTCCAGAGGGGGCTTGAATACGCGAGTACGGCCCGGACAGCAAAATTTGGTACACGTGCTTTCATACTTGAGCGCGCGCACAGTGGGGCAAAGGGTTACTTCAGGTGGCAGGTATTTTGAACAAAAGAGGCTCGACTGGTACGGTCGTGCCGCACTAATAATCGTACTATTTAGTGATAACGTACATTGTACATTAGGCTACGTGCCAGACTAGAAGGAAGTCGACAGCTGGCTTGAAAAGCCGACCTTGTCCTTTAGTACAAAAGAGTACGTGCGCGCTCTTGTATACGGAGCCCCTAAAAGGACAGGCATGATTATTTTTTTTTTTGATTTCGTTCCCTCGAAATATTATTTCGTTCCCTCGATAATTATTTCGCTACCTCGAAATCATTTCGTTCCCCTCGAAATAATATTTCGAGGGAACGAAATAACATTTTGTTCACTCGAAATTTTTATTTCGTTCCCTCGAAATTTTAATTTCGTTCCCCCGAAAAATCATTTCGTTACCTTGAAATAACTATTTCGTTCCATTGAAATGTTATTTATAAGGAAGCCCGGAGTGACCATTCGCATTTCAGGCGGTCTGAATTCATAACATTTGGCAAGTATCAGTCCATGCTTTAATGGATCAACTGTACTGTAGCCCATATCATATTTACTGAATCACCTAATTATAGATACTTATATGCATAATGTATTGTCTTGTACTTGTTCATATAGATCTATATTTTATGTGTACTGCATGCCAGCAACAATTTGATTCGTATTTTAATCATTAACCTTAGTTTCTCAATTAGCGACGATGAAAGTGATTTAAATAAACCATTTTAGTATCCAAGGGAACGAAATAAAATATTTTGAGGGAACGAAATAATATTTCGATGGAAAAAATGATAACTACGAGGGAACGAAATAATTATTTTGAGGGAACGAAATAATATTTTGAGGGAACAAAATAACATTTTGAGGGAACAAAATAAAATATTTCGAGGGAACGAAATAAGATTTTGAGGGAACAAACTATTATTTTGAGGGAACAAAATATATTTTGAGGGAACGAAATAATTTCGAGGGAACGAAATGATAATTACGAGGGAACGAAATAATTATTTTGAGGGAACAAAATAACATTTTGAGGGAACAAAATAAAATGTTTCGAGGGAACGAAATAAAATATTTCGAGGGAACGAAAAAGATTTCGAGGGAACAAAATAAGATTTCGGGGGAATGAAATAATATTTCAAGGACGAAATGATTTCGAGGGAACAAACTATTATTTTGAGGAATCGAAATATATTTCGAGGGAACGAAATAATTTCGAGGTAACAAATAATCTGTCGAGGGAATGAAATAATATTTCGAGGGAACGAAATAATATTTCGATATTTCGAGTGAACGAAATGAAAAAAAAAAACCATCATCATGCCTGTCCCTTTAGGGGCTCCGTATTTAGGGGCTCCTTACGTACTTGGCCCCGAAAAAAGTGCCGCCTGGCTGAGTGCATAGTGAACGGTAGTTGAACTCGGCATTTTACGCTGTGTCATTGGATTGGATGTCTGACCATCTATTTATTTTGGTGTAACATATTTGACCCATCAGTCACATTCACATCATGGTGCTGACAGACATGAAAGTTGGACCTTGATCGCAACTCAGGTTTGTAATCGATAACGAAATCCATTCAACTGCAGGTAGCGACGTCTGAACATAGGCATATGCTGCAGAACATTCAACTGCGGATAGTCTAGTCTAGTGTACGAAGATCTTTGCTCCACCAACCGCGTCTAGAATTAGCCTGCATCGTGTAAGTCCATGAAATCTCTCATGCACAAACTATTTTATAGTTTCTCTCTCTCATTGACCTCGAATAGGTTGGTGATTTAATACTTAAAATAACAATCTGATTAATAAGCTACTTAACAATTATTATTATTGACTGCTGTGACAGTGTGAATGTGATGTGGGATATGGTCATGGAGTTAAGCACTCGATGGGTGGCTAAGGCCTAATAGTACAGGCAATATAAGGTTTGACCTCAAACAAATTGCAACAGAATTTTTTTCACCACAGTGCATTTCTATAAGGTCCCTAAAATGACATACTAAAAGTCTTAAAAAATCGAGGTGGTGGAAATTTGCCTAATTTGCATAAATCCAAAATTAACGCATATGTTAGGACTTTCGCATTGATTTGGTCATATTGCTCATACTAGGTGGATTTTAGAGGTACTTCAAACAACAGTTTTAGTCCTTTTACATTGATTTACTCATTATTTAAGTCCTAGGTAAATTCCAAGATCCATATGTTTCCGAAATTTTTCAAATGCCGTATAATTTGCATAAATGCCGTATATCAATTTGCATATTTAAAGTTAAAATAATGGATGCCATGTGTGGACATCTACCAATTGAGTGTTCCCTGATAATCCAAGTCAAATTTCACACCACAGTGCATTGCTATAAGGTCCCTAAAAAAGTTGTGAAAAATCCAAGTGGTGGAAATATGCCTAATTTGCATAAATTCAAAAGGCCGCTAATTACATGATTTTCATATGATTTGGCGCGGCCATAATAGTATATAGGCCGTTATGTACTTTTGCTTTTTTTGTTTGTTTAAGAAGTAATTTTTGCCATATTTGGAAAGAGTTTACCTCCCTAAGCCGGAAATGCATTGAAGACATGTTTTCCCAGCTACTGTGTGGCGGCCATCTTGGATTTCAAAATGGCCGCCATTTCGAGCCTAATTTGTATCATAACTTCGGACTTGATTGTCACATGAAGTTTATTTTGATGGCAAACCCCATGTTTTTGATACCAAGGAACCTGAGTACATTATTGTTTATGGTGTACTCCAAATGGATGGCAGCCATCTTGGATATTTCAAATATATGACCGCCATTTTCGGCTTATTTGCATAATAAATTTGGACTCGAATGGCGTACGAAGTCAATTTCGGTGGCAAACCCCATACATTTGATACCAAGTAATCTTAATGACCCATTGCTGATGATCTATCCCAGATGGATGGCAGCCATCTTGGATTTTTTTTCAAAATAGCCGCCATCTTGGATCTTATTTATAATAACATTGCACCTGAATGTCCTATGAAGTCCATGTATTTGAATGAATTCAAGTAAATCACTGTGGACGGGGTACTTACAGTTGATGGCAGCCATCTTTGATGTCATAATTGCCGCCATTCTGAACTATTTGCATAATAAATTTGGACTTCAATGTCGTATGAAGTCACTATTGGTGGTGGCAAAGCCCATAAATTTGATACCAAGGAATCCAATTAGCACATTTAGGCATCCCAATTGGATGGCAGCCATATTGGATATTCAAAAATAGCGGCCATCTTTGATTTCATTTAAATAATAAGATGGCACCTGAATGTCGTATGAAGTCCATTTTGGTGGCAAACTGCATAAGTTCTTGATACCAAGGAACCCAAGTTAATCATTGTTGATGGGGTACTCCACTGGGAGTATACCCCATCAACAATGATTTTCGTGGGTTCATTGGTATCAAAAACATGGGGTTTGCCACCAAACTGAACTTCATATGACAATCAGGTCCGAAGTTAGATACAAATTAGGCCCGAAATGGCGGCCATTTTGAATTCCAAGATGACCGCCACATGGTAGATAGAAAAAAAATGTTACCAGCTTAGGAAGGTAAAGTCTATCCAAATAATTATGAGAAAAATTCCTTCTTTAGCAAAGAAAAATGCAGTGGCCAAAAATATGACATAATATGCTATCTAGTAATAACTCTTGTCCTAAGTTGCTTTTCGGGGTACTTTAAACAACATTTTGTCATTTGACATTGGGGTCATTCAGTGTGAAATCACCCCCCAAAACTTTTAAATTTGAAACCCCAACCTCTTCAAATTGGATCATATTTAGTTTATGAGGTAATTTCGGCTAAAAAGCCGAAATTTTAAGTTTTAGCACCATCGGACAAACAGTTTTCGCGCTACCGCCCAGGCAATTTTGGTCAAAATGGACATTGCTGCCATTTTTAAATGACCATATTTCTATAATCTGTGAGTCAAATGTGTTCATCTTAATTTCTTTTGAAAGGTTACATCATGAGAAATCCAAATTTACCATTGCTTTTTTTCATGTCGGGGTTATTTTAAGTAAAATGACATTTGACCTTTAATTTGACCTTGAATTTGACCTAGTGGATCACCCGACATTGAGACAAACTTGGATGAAAATTAAACCCCAAGATGTTCGCTACAAAATATCAAAAAATTGGGAAAGATATTTTTTGTTCGGTTTTTGGCTCATCTCAAAGTTGGAATACGCGTTGCAAAATGTGATATCCCTATGCAGTGTACTAGTGGATTTAAAGTAGGGATTTTTTTGTCCCTGAAAAGTGTTAAAATTGAGTTAATTCATCAATCACTATTTTTTTTACGGCCGTAAAGTGTTATGTAACTTCGGAGGTGGGTGCTAGGTGAATTATGCAAATCGCAATTCCTTTTTCCTTTGATGCATACCAATTCCACGTATTTTCGGATTGAGGTTTGCGATTTTTTGGTTTATTTCTTTCTCGTATATATAATATGATTTTTGTGATTTGTAACTCCTGTGTTGAATCCTCTGTTCTCTTGAGTTATTCCTTGATTTTTGGTCCGAGTAGAGCGGCACAAGGGTTCGCTCTGCGACACAGGGATATCACATTTTCCAACACTTATACCAACTTTGACAAGAGCTAGAAACCTTAACAAAAAAATATTATACCCCATAGGAAACATAGGATCTCATAAGGTACCTCGGACTGGAATGATGATGAAATCAATGTCAAAGGACAAATTGTTGTTCAAAGTACTCCAAAAAGCAATGCAGGACAAGAGTTATGGCCAAATAAAAAATCATGTAATAAGTGGCCATTTTGAATTTATGCAAATTAGGCATATTTCCACCACTTGGATTTCTTTCCTTTTTTAAGGAACCTTATAGCAATGCACCATGGTGTGAAATTAATGTATGAACATGACTGGACTTGGATTATCAGGGAAAATGTTATTGTGACATGTCCACACATGACAGCCATAATTTTAACTTTAATCTATGCAAATTAATAAATGGCATTTATGCAAATTATTATCGGCATATCGCAAATTTGGGAAACATAGGGATATTGAAACTTACCAAGGTCTAGAATAATGAGTAAATTCGCCTGATGATCGCCACGCAGTGTGCGTGTGCGTGAAACCAATGGAAGCAGAATAGACTGAACCTATATGTTATATATAGATTCATATATATATCATATTGCAGATAGTATATATATTACAGCATAATAAATGAATATAAATCATCTACAGATCTTTTCTGAAGTCAACGGGCATCTCAATAATAAATTAAGATAACTCTCTGTGCTTAGTATTAAATATATTGTTGCAGCATCACTAAATATTCCATTATAAAGTAGCAAAAAAAGTGGTACTGGGTGTAGTTAAGAAACACATTAGAAAACTACTTTCCACCACTCGGATTTCTTAAGACTTTTAATATGTTATAGAGGAGATTTTTCTGAGTAATAACCTTTTTAAATGGTTTCTGTTGCAATTTGTTTGAGGTTACCCCTTAATTTTTAACATAATGCCTGTACTATAAGCACCAGAGGCGAACTATTATGACTGTACATGAACCCCTCCGGTGTTAAACAATCACATTTATTTTTCGGGTGAATCTCAAAAATAGCGTAGAGAGAGCAACTTAAAGGGAATATACAACATTTGCAAACATCGAAAAATAAAACTACCAAGTTTTTGCGAAATACCTTAATAGGATGTTGGTAAATGACAGTCTAAAGCATCCTGTAAAATTATGGCACCTGGTATACTGTCATTTTCAAGAAAAGTGTTATTTTTGTATCAATTTCCAACGCTGATCGGCCGATCAGCGTTGGAAACAACTGGCTTTTTTTTCAAATACTGGCCCCAATTTACCATTGCACTTGTTTGCAATCGATTACAAACCTATGAACGGGTACGAGCCAGCTAGACTGGCTCCCTGACCTTACAATTCCCCAATGTATGTAAACTGCTCTGTTTCTTCTTATATGGAGTCAGGGAACCAGACTACAGGAAAATGATCGTTTTTCTTGGTTTTTATAGCATTTTCGAACCCAAAACCTCCAAAAATTCAGTGTAGCTATATTTGCTTTATATTTCCAAACCCCCAATTCCATCCATTTCTGAAAATTACAGCAAAAGCAAATGATGTATATTCCCTTTAAGTTCAAGGAACTTGGAATACCGTACCCAGCTGTAACTATTAAAAGGTACTCCTAGAACTATGTACGTGGAGCCTCATAGTTCTAGGAGTCTAGGAGTAATTAAAAGGTACAGTTCGTAATTTGTGCATTTTGTTTGTTTGATGAGATTTGAAGGTTTGCATGGTGGAAAGATACTAAGACAAGATAAGTTTGCGGTAGCACCATGTGAATAAATCTCTTTCAGAATCACACATAAGCCTACTCACAGATTTATTCACATGGTGCTACCGCAAACTTATCTTGTCTTTGTTTGTTTGAAGCACTGCTTGCTCAAAATCTGAAGAAGGGTGCTGAACAACTAACCTGAGCAAGTTTCAGCTCAGCTTCAGCTGTATATTCCTAGAAAAAACCGTATCTAGGATCTCGATTTCAAATCAAAAGTTGCGGAATCATGTTTTGAATTCGGTCTGAATTCGGGGTCTGAGACACTTTCTCACTGAGCCGATTGCAGGTACGTGATGTCGCATGTGCATCGTGCCAACGCTTCCACACACTTCGCCGAATAAAAAACGAACTACTAACGGACATTTCTAATGTTGCAACCTGACCCCACTCTTTTCTTCATATATCATCTCAATGAAGGTCATTCTTGCAAAAATGATGATAGACGTGAATCTGGGACTAAGAAATATTTTAAATTTTGTGACGAAATACTTGGAAAATGTTCATGACTCTCCATAGACTTTTTACACAATCGTAGAAGCGGGGTCCGCTCATAAGTCCGACGCCTCATAGGTCCGACGCCTCATTAGTCCGACAAAGTCGCATCCCCGAACCAAATAAAGGCCCATAGGTCCGACGCCTCATAGGTCCGACGCCTCATAGGTCCGACGCCTCATAGCTTCGACGCCTCATAGGTCCGACAAATTAAACGCTTTGTTTTTCCGTTGTCTGAATTATGAGGCGTCGGACTTATGAGACGTCGGACCTATGAGGCGGAATTAATAAATTTTATGCCTCATAAGTCCGACGCCTCATAAGTCCGAAATTTCGGACTTATGAAGCGTCGGACCTATGAGGCGTCGGACTTATGATGCAGCCCCGTGGAAGTGGCATCAAGTGTGTACATTTCACTCAATATGAATGTCGGGTTTGCATTTGACAGCTATAGAATTTCATTTTGCAGAATTAACAAATGGCCTTCCTGGAATCAGTGACCATGGCTCGTCAGCTGAAGCCATTCAAGGTGTTGCCATGGATACTATCACGTCATGTTGCTCCCTCAACTTCAAGTCGTCATGGAAGACTTGCATCTACAGCCACCAGCGCACCATCACCCAGCATGTACAAGTTTGTGGTGGTTGGCGGTGGGTCGGGTGGTCTGGCCATGGCCAGTAGTCTGTCTCGTAAACACGGCAAGGGACAAGTTGCAGTCATTGAACCAAGCGAGGTGAGGCGAGACATCCATTCCTTTCCAAGCTGGTGAAAGCTTTCCCTTTTACAAGGGAACACAAAGTATTATGGGTCGTTGACTGTCATTTTCCATACACATCTTGAATCGATCGCTTTGAGCAGTTCAGATCCATACAATTTATCGCCAGCAAAAGTGTTTCACTGTACAACCTGCCACCAAGATAGAGACTAACTAAAGTTCATCTCAAATATGCCATTTTCTAGCTTAAGATATAGGCTTGGATCATGAAAGCTTATACCTTTTATAAGGGAACACAAAGTATTATGGGGCGCAGACTGTCATTTTCCATGCAAGTCTTGAATCAATTGCTTTGGGCAGTTCAAATCCATACAATTTATCGCCAGCAAACAAAGTGTTTCACTGTACAACCTGCCACCAAGATAGAGACAAACTAAAGTTTGTCTCAAATATGCCAGTTTCTAGCTTAAGGTATAGGCTTGCATGGATCGTATGACTTCAAAGTACCATTTTTTGCTGAACCTGAAGGGCCAGCCTATATTGTCCTCTCTCTGAGTCTTTGACTGAGTCTCTGACTGAGTCTCTGACTGAGTCTCTGACTGAGTCTCTCCCCGAGTCTCTGACTGAGTCACTGACTGGGTCACTGACTGAGTCTCTGACTGAGTCTCTGACTGAGTCACTCCCCGAGCCACTGACTGAGTCACTCACTGACTGAGTCACTCCCCGAGTCACTGACTGAGTCTCTGACTGAGCCACTGACTGAGCCACTGACTGGGTCACTCCCCGAGCCACTGACTGAGCCACAGACTGAGCCACTGACTGAGCCACAGACTGAGCCACTGACTGAGCCACTGACTGAGCCACTGACTGAGTCACTGACTTAGCCCCTGACTGAGTCACTGACTGAGTCACTCCCCGAGTCACTGATGGACCCACTGACTGAGTCACTGACTGACATGGGCTTCGCCAGGATTTGTTCTAGTGAGGGGTAAAGCACATTTTCCCCCCGAATTCCCTGTTCTTTTCCAGCATATTGTCGATTTGTCATTTTTTGAGGGTGGGCGGGGACATTTGCCCCCCTTTCCCCAACCCATTAAATTAACAGCACTATGACTTTGCAACTCTTTTTCTGTAATTGTTTTTTTTTGTTGCTTTTCCAGGGGGATGGGGAAGCGCCCATTCCCACCCCCCCCTCGCGACGCCCATGCTGACAGGGTCACTGACTGAGTCACTGACTGACTCCCCGAGTCAACATTGAGTGTACAGGATGACATATAGTGAGACTTTTGGGTCAGCTAGGCAAGCTATATAGTCTCTATTCCCAATAAATCTCTGCATGCAATAAGTCGCCTTTCTGATCGATTGTGGTGAGTGTGATTCATTCCTGCTCAACAGAATTTGTTGATTTGTCCCTGTACTTCAGGAACATTTTTACCAGCCAATGTGGACACTAGTGGGCGGCGGAATCAAGAAAAAGGAGCAGTCCCGCGGCCTGACGAAGGACGTCATGCCCAAAGCCTGCGACTGGATCAAGGAAAAGGCTGTCGAGTTTGACCCTGAAAATAACAGCGTCAAGACGTCAGGGGGCAAAGTGGTGCAGTATGACTACCTAGTGGTCGCCATGGGGCTGCAGTTAAACTTTGATAAGGTAAACTGGATCTTCAATGTCCATTGCCCTGATCTGGCCAATCCAGAAATGGCCTTTAAGCCATTAGTCCCTGTAGCACCCCAAACCATACTGACATCAACAGATAAAGTGGTAGGTATGGGCTCGTGCACCATCACAAGAGAGCGCGTTTTGACCACTAAATAAGTAACTACATGTTTCTCCAGCCATTGCAGCAACGTGTACGTTGTAAGCATGGCATGGTTCGTACATTGTAAATATGTTCCCTATTACGTGCTCCTTGTGAGCATGGCGTTGCGGTGTCCAGTAGGGCCAGTCCAACTAGAACACTGTAATTGGGACGGTCCCATCTTAAGTTGGGACTGATGGTATAGTTTGGGCCTAACAGTTCACACTAGAGTGCCCCTTCAAACAATGAGGCCCCTAAGTGCCTCCCAGCAAATTGGATCCCAATTACGCCACGACAGTGAAAGGCCCGGTATTGCAGGCATCACAGGCAACTTGCTTTCCGTTTCCCTGTTTTGGAAGAGCACCCCTAACATACAGTGTACATTTAACCTGCAGTTAGAGGCACATTGATGACACCCTTGTGCGATAATCAATTTGGCATGATGTAAAAGCCATAATAAGCATGTAGTGTAGACATACATTCATGTACATGTCTAGCAAAAACTAGGCTGTCAGTTGCGCCCAGAAGTTGCTGAAATGTTATGCTTTTATAGGGCCTATACATTTTAGTGTGATGAACGGTTTGCCTAGCTTGCCTACCCGCGTTCGATAAGACTTAAAGGGAATATACATTATTTGCTTTTGCTGTAATTTTCAGAAATGGATGGAATTGGGGGGTTGGAAATATATAGCAAATATAGTTACACTGTCTTTTTGAGGTTTTGGGTTCGAAAATGCTACAAAAACAAAAAAACAAAATCATTTTCCTGTAGTCTGGTTCCCTGGCTCCACTTAGGAAGAAACAGAGCAGTTTACATATACATGTATTGGGGAATTGTAAGGTCAGGGAACCAGTCTAGCTGGCTTGTACCCGTTCATAGGTGTGTAATCGATTGCAAACAAGTGCGATGGCCAATGGGGGCCAGTATTTGAAAAAAAGCCAGTTTTTTCCAACGCTGATCGGCCGATCAGCGTTGGAAATTGATACAAAATACCACTTTTCTTGAAAATGACAGTATACCAGGTGCCATGATTTTACAGGATGCTTTACACTGTCATTCACTAACAGTCCAGCAAGGTATTTCAAAATGATTTGGTAGTTTTATTTTTTGATGTTTGCAAATGTTGTATTTTCCCTTTAAGTAAGCTGACGGCGTACTAGTGTAGAATTCAACACGTTTAGGTGAGATGGTGTGAGAAGGCCTCAAAAGATGGACAGACACCCTTGTAAAGATGTGACATTTACTCATTCGAATGTTTAATCCAAAAGAAAATCTGCCATCTTTTACACAGCTGAAAGGTCTACCAGAGGCGCTGGAGAATGATCCGATGGTTTGCTGCAACTACTCCTACAACACTGTCGACAAGACGTTCAAGGCCTTACAGAATTTCAAGAGTGGCAACGCCATATTCACTATCCCTAACACCCCGGTCAAGTGCGCTGGGGCTCCCCAGAAGATCATGTATTTGACGGAGGAATACTTCCGGCAGGTCAGAGTTATTTCAGTGTGTGTGAATTTATTTGTTTGTTGTTGCAAAAAGTTTCCAAGGTATGAGCAAGTTTGTTTGAGGACAAGTTGATTAGGGAACTTGTAGTTGCACCTTCGTAAAGTGTATATCTTGCTGGTATTTGTCTGGAGTGTTGTTTAGTAGCTTTTTAAAAATATGTGTGGATATTGTTGTGTATGGACTTGATCTAAGACTAGTTGTGACGGCAGTTGCGCCTTGTAAATTGTTGCCGCATGGTGGCGCTGTTCTACGCGCCGTACTCTTCTCGCCCGATCACATTTTGTAAATCACTAGTGAATTTGACTCCAAAACAATTGAGTTTCTTCCCCCCAAAACCTGACCTAGGGACAGAGGTAACTTGATTACTATATATTTTATAATTCATAGAATTATTGTGAAGTAATTTTGAGTCATTGAATAATGTTATTTGTAATGTTTTTTAGGATCAATAATCGCTCGATAAATCAGTTTATATGAATGTGTTTGTGTAGCGATTTATCAACGACACATGTACACTGCACTTCATGTAGTAATTTATGTTTTATGCCCCTCGTGAATAATGGATTTAGATCTGGGTATAACTCTGGGTTTTTATAGTATGATAAATCCTCTTCTTGTTTATTATAAACCTGGGATTTATTTGGGGTTATATTATAACATGTTTTTGGGAGCAACATGTCCAATTATCCCACATGTTAATTACATGTATTCCACATGTCCACTTTACATGTACATGTAGATGCACTTGATGTATGTGCTTATTATATCCCTTTATGTTTATTATTTTGCAGTTTTTACGTGAATGATCTGAATCAAGAGAGAAGTGAATCAACTGAAATCAATCGAATAAATCAAACTTGGAACCTTTAAGCTTTAATTGACCACAAGAGAACTTTAATTTCCGATAACCGCCACACTAGTAGACTAATCTAATATTAATGTACTTGTCAATGCGCATGCGTGCGCGCGCGTCTGTATGGAAAGTTCCTGTGCTCTCCTTCTCTTGTTCAAGTGATAGTTTTGAGTGACAACATGTTTGGCCACTTTCGGCCCTTTCTGAAAGTTATCAAACATGTTGTCACGCAAAACTATCACTTGAACAAGAGAGGAAAAGTACTGGAACTTTCCATACGGACGCGCGCAGGCATGCGCATTGACTACATTAATAGTCCACTAGTCTTAGTTCAAGTCCATACACAACACTTATGAAGCAGGAAGTGTGCTTGTCAAACTTAAAATGCAGGAATGTAAATAAACATACAGTGTGTGTCAATAAAAACGCAGGATTAGAAACAAAAATATTAAGAATATAAACCACCCCTATTCATCATAATGTTAACCCTCTTTTCAAAGTACCTTTCCTTCTCTTCACTATGCTTTTTATCCCATCTCATTTGGACAATCCTGTCCAGAGATAGAGTACATTGAAGAAGGGTTATAAATTCCAAGCTGGTCTGATTTGTGAAATCACACATACCTAATGAAAGGTTTGAATTCAGTACAGGTGAAAGTATTTGTGGATTACAAAGAAGGACATGTGTGGCAGGATTAGGCTTACATAATCCTTTAGTCCACAATCAATGTTTTTAGTCAATAATTCATGATGCTTTGAAACAATGATAGTCCAGTTATTAAATTTAAGTGATACTTATCATCAGTTGTTTCAAAGAAAGTTTTGTTCTGGTTTAATTGTCTTCAATGCATACCTGCATTGTACATAACTGGTCGTTGTGTTAAGGTCATTGAATCAGACCAACCCGCTTCAGAAGGGCTTCACAAAACTTGTCATAACTTTTGAACCAAAAGTCCAAATTCCACCAAACAAAAATCTTGTCAAAGATGACATTATGGACAATCAAATCCTTATCAAATAAGGCACACCAGTAGCATAATTTTCTCAGAAAAAAAATCGCTTTGAATCCTGCGTTTTTATTGACACACGCTGTACTTTCTGTAATTCAACTTTTCATGCAGAACAACAAGCGTGACAAGGCCACCGTCATGTACTGCTCGCCTCTGCCGTCGATATTCAGTGCTCCCAAGTACGCAGCTGTCATGATGGAAATCTGCAAGAAGCGAGGCATCCAGGTCAACCTTCGACATAATCTGGTGGAGATCAAACCGCAGAGCAAAGAAGCTGTGTTTGCTAAGTTGGACACCGAACCGAACGAGACGATTACCTTGCCTGTGAGTACTTTATTCTGCTGTGTTTCATTTAAAGGGAAATTACAACATTTGCAAACATCAAAAAATAAAACTACCAAATCATTTTGAAATACCTTGCTGGACTGTTAGTGAATGACAGTGTAAAGCATCCTGTAAAATCATGGCACCTGGTATACTGTCATTTTCAAGAAAAGTGGTATTTTTGTATCAATTTCCAACGCTGGTCGGCCGACCAGCGTTGGAAAAAACTGACTTTTTTTCATTTACTGGCCCCAATTGACCATCGCACTTGTTTGCAATCGATTACACACCTATGAACATTTACAAGCCAGCTAGACTGGTTCCCTGACCTTACAATTCCCCAATGTATGTAAACTGCTCTGTTTCTTCTTATATGGAGTCAGGGAACCAGACTACAGGAAAATGATTGTTTTTCTTGGTTTTTATAGCATTTTCGAACCCAAAACCTCAGAAAAGTCAGTGTAACTGTATTTGCTATATATTTCCAACCCCCCAATTCCATCCATTTCTGAAAATTACAGCAAAAGCAAATGATGTATATTCCCTTTAAGCATTATGATTCTAAGCTTTGGAGCAGAGTTGTAGGTGAAGTCTGTTACAGGTCCATTGCAAGTCAATTACATTTTATTTCACAAGTAGCAGGATGCAAACGGCTAATTTGTTACCATTCATTTAAAAAGCCAAGGTACATTTTACAGGTAATTGTGTAATATACAACTACCAAATTGTTGTGAAATACCTTACTTGACTGTAAAAGAATAATACTCTCAAGCATCCTGTGAAATTGCTGTTAATTTTCAAGAAAAATGAAATTTGTATCAATTTGCCACCAATTGTTGGCCCAAAAACTCTGACTTTTTTTCAAATTCATGTACATTGTACTGCCCCCAATTTACCTAAATTCTTATTTCTTATGTTTCTGCCACAAAAGTATGAAATGCTGCATGTGCCTCCTCCCATGGGCCCACCTGATATCCTGAAGGCCAGCCCCCTCGCTGGACCAGCAGGGTTTCTTAGTGTCAACAAGGAAACAGGACAACACACCAAGTACCCTAACGTGTTTGGTATCGGTGACTGCACTGACTTCCCCACCTCAAAGACCGCAGCTGCAGCAGGTAAGACCAACCTGAATCCACTGTCAATTCCGTTCAAAATGGTCACTTTTTTGCAGTCCGTTTTTTTTTTCATAATTTTTTCGTAACTCTGGTAAAAAAAATTCATATTTCACAAGTCCCTCATTCAAACATTGGTAAATAACATGTGCAAGCCCCTTTAAAGGGAATGTACATTATTGGCTTTTGCTGTAATTTTCAGAAATGAACTATTTGGGGGGTTAGTATAAAAGATCAAATATTGTTACACTGACATGTTTGAAGTTTTGTGTTCGAAAATGCTGGAAAACCAAGAAAAACAAAAATGTTCAAGTAGTCTGGTCCCTGACTCCACTAAAGATGAAATGGATCAAAGATGCCAGAAAATTGTAAGGTAGGGGAACCAGTCTAGCTGGCCTGCACCCGTTCATGAACATGCAACCAATAGCAACAAAATTTGGACTGAAAACAAAATCCGGTAAATTTGGATCAGTATAGTTGAAAAACAGTAAGGTTTTTCCAACGGTTTTCCAAAAAATACAAAAGTACCATTTTTCTTGAAAATGACAACACCAGGTGCCCTAATTTTACAGGATGCTTAAGACTGTCATTTACCAACATCCTAGTAAGGTTTTTCGTAACAACTTGGTAGTTTTATTGTTCGATGTTTGCAAATGTTGTATTTTCCCTTTAAATCGATTGAACCATTGGCCCAGAATTCTCTAATTAAGCACCAGCCCCAGTAACAAGAACCATCTGCTATATCATTATATTGTTATATTGATAATAGTTGGTAAGACTGTTAAAAGAAGGCTTATGTGGTATAGGATTTTGAGAGTCCACTATATATTGTCACGAAAAGACAGCTGTGTTTGATATTAGTCATGTATGTAGGTACGTTCTAGGCAGACTGTTATGTCATCAAACTAAAAAGCAGACACAGCGTGGTATACATACAGGTAGTAAACGGCGAAACTAAGGCCGTGATGGGTACCCGGGTACCCGTTTATACATAGCCTGATTACTGATTACGGGTTCCCGATTCCATTTTATCATTTTTATTACCCGAAACTGCCTTTGTAAATTTCAACACATTTCAGAAAGGCAAGCTCCCTTGTCGATGGATTACTTGCCAATAAATTTTCAGAAAAAAAATCTGAGTAAAACATCTTTTGAGTCCATTTACGGACAATTTCCCGATGTCTAGATTGCGGATGAATCAACAAAAAAAACAGTCATGGCGCACGTACCAATTGATACTCAGCAGGCAAATTCCCCCGAATTACTCGAAATACACTATAAACGCTATAAATCACATGCAGATGTTGTAGTATTGCCTTAATTAAGGTTCAAATTACATTATAAACAATCTTTAGCCACATAAAGATGTTACAAAATAGCGTAAATTTCAGGCAAAATGCAGTTTTGTCACAATGAAAACTAGCTGGAACCTCAGCACCAACCTGTCCCATTATGCAAGGGTTTGTTTTAAGAGTTTGAAGCTTTTTTTTTAAACAAATGTACCCTTTTTTCAACTTTACTATGTTTTTCTGTCAAATAACCATTTTTGCAGAATTCTGCCAGAAATCTGCTAAAAAATCAATTCTGTCAAATTTTCTGTCAGACTCGTTTTTTAACCAAACAAATCTGTCAAAGTTAGCCGAAAATCGGCTAAATTGGTCACCCTGGTTTAAAGTAAAATGTACATGTACAAGAATGCAATTCGGTTGTCACTATTAGACGAATCTTGGCATGTGATCTTTGTACACTCATGAGGCCCCTTTAATGTGGAAACCATTGTGTGTGCTATTGTGCAAAGCAACTGCCGTGTGACGGATTATCTGAACTAAAGCTACCACAACACTTTTGCCATTGAAGAGGGCCTTCATGATAGAATTGATAGCGTGCCCAGATTGGTCTATACAATGACATATGGATTTCTGAGCACACAGACTAATAGTATTCATGGGGGTTGTTTTAGGAGTCTTTTTTCCTCCATTGATTTCCCGACTGGATATCGTATTACTTGGTCATGGTAATGACCAAAACTGAAGCAATATTCTCAAAGTTGAACAGGATTTGCAGAAAAAAAGTAGAGTTATGCCTTTCAGGAGTTTCATTTATACCTTGTATTTTGATAACTTTTATTTTTACATTCGACAGCTGCTCAAAGTGGTGTTTTGAAGAAAACAATAAATGCTGTTGTCAATGGCTTAACCCCAGTCGCAAAGGTGAGATGTAGCATTTGTTGAACAAAGTAAAGAGCAGAGAAATGCACAGCTGCTTAAGTCGAGGTGTGGATTCCGTGCACAAAGTACCCCCTCGGTAGTTTACAAAGGGAGAGTTTGGAGGACCATTGGGAGGGGCATTTGAACACATTGCCGACAGGCCCGATTCTCGCGCTGTACATTCTGAGAAAAATTAATTGAGGGTACTTTACGCCATATGCCTGCAAACCAGTACGCACAGGCGATGTTTCCCTCCCCACTGTTGCTCCTAAAAGTGGTCAGAATGGGCCGTCTACGTGTACTGTTCATGCACTGAGTTCATTAGCCAATCTGAAGTTTTCCTTATTGACTTATTGAGCACAGGAGATGGCACTGCATGTATATGTATCCCTCAAAAAGGCACCAACGGTTTGCACTACTACGTAATTTTCATCTGAAAAGGCACATACGCAAAGTTTCTTTGCTTGAGTTCCAGGCAGAGGGCGGCCACGGCATGCACGAGTTTGAACACCCCCCCCCCCCCTTTGTTTTGTCACATTATGAGAGTACCAGACATGTAGCAAGGTCATTTTGATTGTAGGGGTAGACATAAAAAAGGGGAAATTGGTAAAACAAAAAAAGGGGCAAACTTTAAGAGATTTACATAGCAACAACATCTTGTGGAGCTGACACTTTTGTTAGTCATGTAATACGAATCACGATCGTCCGACACTGGTGAAGTTCCCATTACGTAACAAAAAATAAAAATAATAAAGGGCAAAAATATTTGGGGGAGGATGGTTAAGAGGCTAAAATTTATTATTATTTGATACTCTCCTTCATCAATCCATCTTTTTATTAAACTTAAATATGTGCTGTACATGTAAGTGCTAGTTTCCAGTTTTACTCTGAAGAATACTGGTTTATTTAAATCACTTGTTTAAATTGCTTTTATATTGTTCTAGCGTTATTCACCTTTGAATAAAACATTGAATTAAAAATTTTGCACGCATTTAGTTTTGGAATAACTACTTCGCAAACTTTGATTCACAAGACAAAACTGGTTCCTGTCATCTACAAGAGTCGATAATGTAAGGATCGGCAACCAGTCTACTTGCAAGGTGAATCTGATTGTTTGCAAACGCAATCCAAAGTAAAGGCTTAAGGTTGAAAAAAAATATGGAAAAAAGGAAGAAAAAAAAAGTTGAATAGCATGGACTGTACTTTTTGTGTTCAAAATGAAACTTATTAAATCCTTCGAATCAACCATTGGTCAATTTTTCATCACGGTATTTTCAATACTTTTTTGGACTCGCAGTACGATGGCTACACATCGTGTCCTCTGATCACCGGACGTAGAAGCTGTGTCCTGGCCGAGTTTGACTACAACCTGGAGCCACTGGAGACCTTCCCCTTTGATCAAAGCAAAGAGAGGCGAAGCATGTACCACATGAAGGCCGACTTCATGCCAACCATGTACTGGCATGCTTTTGTGAAGTGAGTGTAACATTGACTGGTGGGGTGTGGTGTTTTTAAAGGGAATATACATCATTTGCTTTTGCTGTAATTTTCAGAAAAAGATGGAATTGGGGGGTTGGAAATATATAGCAAATATAGTTACACTGACTTTTTTGAGGTTTGGGTTCGAAAATGCTATAAAAACCAAGAAAAACGATCATTTTCCTGTAGTCTGGTTCCCCGACTCCATACAAGAAGAAACAGAGCAGTTTACATACATTGGGGAATTGTAAGGTCAGGGAACCAGTCTAGCTGGCTCGTACCCGTTCATAGGTTTGTAATCGATTGCAAACAAGTGCGATGGTCAATTGGGGCCAGTATTTGAACAAAAAGCCAGTTGTTTCCAACGCTGATCGGCTGATCAGGGTTGGAAATTGATACAAATAAACCACTTTTCTTGAAAATGACAGTATACCAGGTGCCATGATTTTACAGGATGCTTTACACTGTCATTCACTAACAGTCCAGCAAGGTATTTCAAAACGATTTGGTAGTTTTATTTTTTGATGTTTGCAAATGTTGTATTTTCCCTTTAACACCCAAGGGGCGCAAAGCACCCAGAGTGAAGCAGAGGGTGCTTTTGCGCCCCCAGGGGGTTATGAGCTCCGTGCGCCGACAAAGAGGGCGCCCTTTTACCTAGCAACGCCATCCCATGGGCGGGACATTGCGCTGGTTGACACGCAGCGTTCCTTGTGTGTGACCACATACACCAGGGGATTTGTACTATGTACAGGCAGTGGCCGTGCTGCGCGGCAAATGAATTGCAGTCAGGCAAGATGGCGTCGGTCGGTCACCCCCAACTGCACTTCCTTTGCCGGTGAGGGGGTACTTGTGAACGAAGCGGATAAATGCCATACATGTACATGACACTAGTCAAGCCAGTTTTCCGGCTGGGGGAAGAAAAAAAAGGCCACATGTCGTTCTTCAGCCACTACTGTTTGTTCGTCACTCATGAGCAAATAAGAAAATGGGTTACGTGCTTCATTTACGTGTCAGCGTGTTAGACTTGTACCGAGTGGCCTTGATCGCGTACACGTGCTATGCGCATAGCTGCCAACTAGTACGATTTTTTCGTAATTATTACGAATTGTTTGTTAAATTACGAAAATACGATTTGCCACTAAAACATTACGAATTTCCGATTTTCTACCTAACAAAAAAAAAATGTAAAGTATCGTTTTTGACCGAAAACTTCTGGCGAAATGTCGCGATAATGGATGGACTGGTGACAAGTCTAATAAGAATGCAGTCAAGCACCTGATAGACATCAATGCAATGTGCGCAGTGGAGTACTGGAGGACCAGACTAAAAGTATTTTTCAATGGTGTGTCATTTGTGTGCATCTCGTGGATGTGTGGTTGTGTGTACTGTATGTGAGTACTTTTCAGTGACGATCGTGAGCACATTTAGTCGCTTATTGCCGGGATGAGACCCATCAGTGCGAGATTTTAATCATGGAATTTAATAAGAGTATGGTTGGAATAATTGGTAATAGAGTTTGAGTTTGTCACAACGGACAGAAAAGATAAATCAGCATGCGTTTGCAAGGTATGTTGGCAGGATATTTCTATTGCATACGGTGGCCATAGATCATTGTGTGTAAAAACATGATACGAACTCGAAACTCAACATCGATAGCATGCATCTCAAAAAAATATGCGCACATGTTATTGATGTTATTATTTATTTGACTTCAACAAACAAATACAGACATTAAAACAAAATTAATTTAAAAAAAAAAAAAAAATTAAATTTTTTTTTTTTAAATTATCTTTTGGCCTACAGTACATTATTATTCACAACAAGAAGGGTATGCACATGTATGTTAACATGTAAACCATGTACTTGTACTCGATGTTGGTAAAGCTTTTGATAAAACGAGAAGTTGAAAATGACCGCGCGGGTTGATTACTAATTGGGATTTTGAAATGTTGGCAGCTATGTATGCGCATGTTCCAGAACACCATGGAAACAGGAGCTCAAATTTATGAATGAGTATTTGTGTTATCCAACCAGATCTGCGATTTTGTGTGACGACAATATGAATATGTAATCTGTGCTATACGCAAAACCAGCGGCAAATATCGTCTACTTACATTTACGAAGAGATCCTTATGTTCATGTCCACATATATATTTGCCACAAATGGCTGAGCTAGAGAGCCTATGAACATGCATGCTTTCTTGAAAAAAGCTACCTGTAGTGTCATGCGTGGGCCAAATGCCGCATGGCGTGGACTGGCAAGCAAATTTGTCTTGGGAGCTGCGCATTGCTTTGTGGATGAAGAATGAAATGGGTCCGTTATGTGAATGGTGAAATATTGTACTTTAAAATAGCCAACTTGTTCTGCATGATACATTTGCGCAAAAGTTTAGTGTCTTACGTTAATTTTCTAAAATTGTTAGCAATTAAAGTCTGAAAACATGGGGAATTCTGAAGTTTGGCATTACATTTGGATTATATGGTTGTAAAATCACGATCACCATGCTAGCGCGTTACATGAATGTATGTATTGTGTCGACATAAGTTACACCCTGTGTGGTGTATGCAATCTATTTTGACAACACCAACTCTCAATTCTACTTTTCCTTGTTCTGTAGGGGATTGTGGACTGGCCCTGCCCTGTACAGGAAGATTATGCATCTTGGTTTCTCAAGGTAAATCCTGGACTGATGTCTGGAGGCATATCAACTTCTGTTGCTACATGTATATCCCACTGAATTGTATTTTAAAAAACAGAGAAGAAAAATTTACTTAATTTCATTTTTCACAAATGTGGATTTTGTTTTTTATATGTATACACAGAAAAGTTATCCATTTACCATGTTCTTCGTAGTATGTTTTGTTTGCTTTTGGGGTTTTGTTTATGATATTTTTCTGTTCTGTTTTTTTTTGGACAATTTCAAATACATTTTTCAAGTAGAATTTTTAGCAAAACGAAGTTTGGTAGAGCATTTTTACTACTGAAGGCAATAAATCTTAATACCATTTGATATTTAATTCTGTCACATGTACCAAAGATGTCAACTCCCTTTATCACACGTTAAATGGAAGTACTTGAGTATACTGTATAATATTGGCCTTCATAATTAAAACAAAAAAAACCAGGTATACTGTATAATATTGGCCTTATACAATACTGTATAATATTGGCCTTCATAATTAAAACATGCATAAATTATTCAGGGAGGCTTGAATGGTTAGGTCATTAAAGCTGGTACATGTGTACCCATGTGCTGCTAGAATATTCCATTATTTTCTCCCTGCATTTAGTAATGAGCAACTATATGCACATTATTGCTCATCATAAGATTTTGTTTTCATTGTGTGCTGCACAGGAAGATATTTTTCTGTAGGAATTCTGAGTTGGAGGCTTCTAACACAAAATATGAAACTTAATAAATCTGTGCCTAATAGTTGTGTGTGATGTCACAAATTTGGCAGCCCATATACACGCCATAGCTTATATAATGTTAGAAAATAATTTGATTTTAAAGGGGTGCTAATCCCACAAAAATACGAGCATACATATTTAGATGAAGGTTTGTGTGTACTTATGCTCAATATACAGTCCATTTCATTAATGTGTGCAAAAATACAGCGCTTTCCTCCAAAGCTAGGTCTCAAAGCGCTTCACGGTTATTACCCCTGTTCATCAGGCCACTAGACCACTTTTCTGCAGCAGAGATCAGCACAATCTGGGCTTTACCCTCACACCCATTTATACTCCTGGGTGGAGAGAGGCAATTGTAGTAAAGTGTCTTGCCCTAGGACACAAGCACCATGTTCCCCATCGGGCTTCGAACCCATGCACCATGGCACGTGGGTTGAACACCTTAACCACTAAACCACAGTGCTCCACATTACTTCAGAAGTTTAGATGCCGCACTTACATCATGTACAAATTGTATCAAACTTACATTCCTTTACCTAAACAATTTACAAAAAATTGGAACAGTTTTTAAGAACAAAAGATGAGAAATATGACACAAGTATTTCCTTTATGATTGTAGTCATTAAAGTCTGTTCGACAGACTGACAGAATATGAAAGAGGTTTTTAAGACACACCCTTTTTGAGGTGAAAGATAATTCTGCTTTTGTAAATTTATTTTTCTTGTTTTTTTCTGGAAGGGTTTTTTGAGCCAAAAGTATTTTTGTAATTTCTGAAGTTCTTCTTATTTTGTAAGGGTACATATTGACTGTGAAATGAATGGCTAGTGCAAACATGGCAAAATGTTCAGCTTTTTAGACATTGGCGTGCACATGTACTTACCATATCTCCTTTGTTTCATTTCTTTGCAAGCTCCAAAAATATCTGTGCCTTATATACTTTACTGTAAGCATTTTACTGGAGCTGTTCGATGCATACTTTGTCTTAAGCAATTGGTCATAAATATAGAGTCTTACTGCATTGTTTATCTTGAAATGCATGAGTCATTCTGCATATATGTGTTCTTTAGTTGAGGAAATGAAGTTTTTGTTTTTTGTTCATCAATCTGCTATGCTGCAATTAGAATTGAATGCTTTTCATATACCTTTGTTATCAAATTAAAAAAATCTATATCCTAGTACTACTTTTGCATGGTTGTAATAATAGTGGGCTGACATTTTTACGAAGAAAACTAGTAAATTATGCACAAATTATGCCAACAATTTTGCACAAATTATGCCCATTTCTGTGATTTGAAAAAACTCTGAAATTCTGTAATTGCAAAGGGAATATATGAAGATTAATGCTATTGTAGTCTGTGTTTGTAATTTTCTATATAAAAAATCAGTGTTTTTGTATGTCAACTTGTAGCTTTGAAATTAGATCTCATTCATTTGATGAATGAAGATAATGAAATTTTTGAAATTATACATTATTGTTCTCAGATATTCCTGACTTTTTCTAAAAATTTATATAGACAGTTAGTTATTCCTGCTAGATTATCTGACTTGCATATCTAGGAGTGATACATAGAACGGCAAATATTTGAAAATTAGCTCTTTTTGTTTTTTGTATTAGAATCTTAAAGCGAACCATATTTTTGAAGAAACTGATGAATTTATTTTTATTACCTGTAAGTATTGAAATGTTAATGCCTTTTGATGACAAAAAGAATAAACCAAACCAAATGTGCTGATGAGTAATCATTTCAATTGCAAACACAGGTCTATCAATTTGTGTCCTGGTGACTTTTTCCTGCCACCCCCCCCCCCCAAAAAAAACAAACCACACATGGAAATACTGTCATATAATAGATAAATTTATTCGTATAATACTTCAGTATTTTTTTTACAGTTGGTTAATATTCCACAACAGTTACAATGTACGTACATGTATTGGACACTTTACATTTCGTCAACTGCGCTTTTTAGTAAATGTAATAATTCTTCACGTAGAAGTACTTTGTGTAAAATTTTCTCCAACTAGGCCAAGACAAAAATACCTGCCTTTCCTATAACCCCAAGCCCAACCAAAATCATTTTACAAATAAAATAAAAACTTGAAAATGGTAGCGCTCCCCACCCTAGTTTTTGCAAACATCGTTCTGTTCTTCTTCTTTTTTAAATATTTATTTAAATTTTAATAAGTTGGTCGAAAGTGTGGTCTTGCCACATCCTGCAGCGATGCCTAGATTTATAAACGATGCAGAAAACCAAAACATCTTTTTCAATGTAATAGGAGACATGAATTTTTTTCTTGGCCCTGTGGGAAATTGTTTCATTTGATATAAAACACAAAAAAGCTAGTGTTGATTCCAAAAAACGATATTGACATAATTATGCATCATGATAATTGACATTTTGTAGGGTTACCGCTAAAATGAAGAGCATATTAAGCCAATGAATCCATTGCTTTCATTTGTACCAATTAAAATCACAAATTGAAAAGAAAATACAATATGTCATTGTTTGTGCAGCGCTGCAACTTATTATTTCTCAAGCAGCAATGAATATAATTTAACGTGTTTAAATTGACAAGCATGAAAATAATCCTTACATTCACAAGCAAACAGTTTACCACCATGACCACTGGGGTGTACTAAAACACAATCTGCGGAATTACTTTCCTGATAATGGAATGAATACTTACATAGGCAATCTATAGCTAGAATCTACATGTTCATATGGACTCTTAATTTATTTTATAAAATTCTAAGGGTAAACAATAGCCTGTGGAGTATGACCATCATGACCCATAGTCATGTGCAGATATAGGCAGCAGTGCACAACATTATGAAGTGATCACAAAGCTTCATATTCTGTTCGTACACAGAGTTTTTAGACAAATTCCAAATTTCCACTGGTAGGGAAGGGGGGAGGGGGAGCTTTACACTTTTTTTGGCGAGGATTCAAAACAACAGGTTACTTGAAATCTCACAATGGTTTACTACTTATAACTTCCCTCGATGATCAATGGAACATTCTATTTTCGACAGCTTCACCCAAGAGCGTTCCATAGACCTTGGCTCTATGGAACGCTCTTTGGGTTTTACTGCACCACTCAAAGCAGTCAATATTTGTCTACCACAGTGGCGCACCCAGGATTTGGATGGGGGGGGGGGGGGCTCAATTTTTTTCCAAAAAATGTTGCCCCAAATTTTTGGCCGCAGAAAAAAATAGGATTTTTTTTCAGGGGTGGACTATTTTGACGTTGGTGGTGCCACTTACACCCCTATTATATTTCTCAAAAATAGGCCACAGACATATCACCAAGGTAAACTCATGGGACAAAAAAAAATTACCAAAAAAAACATGACAAGCTCTTGGGGGGCGGGCTCCGGACTCCCGAGACACCCACCCCCCCCCCCCCCCCCCCCCCCCCCCCCCCCCCCCCCTGGGTGCGCCACTAATCTACCATGCACTTTAAGCTATCAAAATGTGACTTTATGAACAAAAGTACTCAAATATGCTCATTTTTATATACTTCTGGAGTTCAGAAAGGTCACATGGGTTTTTACATTATCAAGTTAGTTCTGATGTATCCATGGAATGTGACTTAAGATGAAATTCCGGGGTTTGGGATTAAAAAAGATTTCCAAAATTTTATTTATTTAGAAGAGCCTGGGACTGTATCTCCTTATTATATTAACCTTTGGCATGTATAGGAAAGTCCAAACTAGGATTTCTGAGGCAGCCAAGACAAACGATACACGCACATCACAATCTTGACAAATAATCACAAAGAATGTCCATTATCGTATTATAATCACACAAAAAAATACATCTACATGTACGGTACCGGTAGCTCTAGAACATCCGAGATTTCACAGAATGTATGAAACCTTACATTTACCTATAAACAACCCAACTGAAGGAAAGAGAAAAAATTGAAATGAATGGCCAATTTTAATTTTATGTTTTTTACACAATGACAATACAAAACTTTGTTTTCAATGAGCATTATTCTTCAAACATATCAAATGATGTGACCTGTGAAACCCTTCACATGGTGGATATATTAATTTTTGAAAATCTCCTGTAGTTAAGACCATTCAAAACACCTCAAAATCTGGGTGCTGGCAAATTGGAGAAAAACAAATGCTGGACCTTTTAAAATCCTCTATTTCACCTTTCAAAACCCTTTTAGTCAGGCAAACTTAAAATGTTTTGAAAGGTCTGATAATTCTATTTGCCAACTGTACTGGGCAATGAGCTCATGTTTGAACAACCTTCTCTGAGTTGTCTCGGCCTTCTGGTACAAAAAAGTTCAAAATTGGTAAAAAGGCCACAAACTTTTTTGTTGTGTTTCTGGTAACCCAACCGACCCATTAATTTTGGATGTACATGTATGTAGTTTTTTTTTGGCAGGGTATAATATGTTATTTTTGGAAGTGAAAGAAAATCCTGACTACGATCGTGGAATACTTGTCAGTATGCAATAAAGTATGCTGCAAAGTATTCATTCTTAACCAGCTGGACTCCAATATGTACATGTATAACTATGCACTGTGTACATATTTATACATATGTACCAAAACAGTAAAAAAAAAAAACTACCCACTGACCCCCCCTTTTTTTTTAAAAATATTTCCAGAAACACAATTTTATTATTTTTGGCCTCATGTAAAGTGTGTTCATATCCATCGCATACATGTATTGACAAAGTTCTCTCTTTTCTAAATCATTGGAATGTGACAGTCATTCTGGCAGATAAACAAAGGGAAGAGCCATGCTATAACTGGGGCTACAGAAAGATCTTTAGACGCTCTACATACACTAATGATTGCTGCAGCATCGTTCCTAACCTCGTGTCTGCTTTTGTTTGACTGTGACTACTTGAAAGACGGCAAGTTGGGCAGGTTGATGTTTGGGGTGGGGATGGTGGGGAGGTTCATGTTCTTGACGGCTGCTGCTGCCCTGGCTGGCGCTGCGGAGAGACCGGCCTATTGAGAAGAAACAGAAACAGTAACTTGAATGATCCCTTAACCCAACCCCCTAGGCTCTTGCACTAGAAAGTATACCAAACCTAACAAATTTCAACAGCTGCATACAGGTCTGTAAGCACTGGTACCAAAACTGCCAAACTCCAACAGGCCTTGTACGGGGAACAGTACTAAACCTGCCAAACTCCAACTGTTGGAGTATGATTGACTTGGTATGGATGGGCCTATGCATTGTCGAGTGATTGGATAGGGATGGTACCAAACCTAACAAAATAAAGCAATATGTACATGCACATTTGACCACAAGCTGTGCTGAGGACTGTGGGTGAGCATACCCACGAAGAAATGCCAGTGAACTCCAACATGTTCACAAATCTCATGCCCTTCTGCCCCGAACCTCACAAAATTCAACAGGGTCTCCCTGGGCCTTTGGTACCCAGTCAATCAAAGTCCAACACCAACTGGCCAGTGTTTGGTACCAACCCTGCCAAAATCAAGCAAAACCCGCTGTTGGAGCTTGATGGGCTCAGGGTTGTTAGGGTTAAATAAGATGAAACTTTCAATATATACTACTGGCTTCGTGCACAAGTACTCCCTCAATGGTTGCAAAGGGGGACACCACTGGGACGGCCATTTGAAGGCATTGGGTTTGTGTACATTCAGAATAAAGTCAAGCCCTCTTATATTACATAAATCCCGAAGACAGCAACACAAAGAGGGAACAATAGATTCTTTGTTTGTCCTCGTACGTATAACTTTTGTTGAAAACAATCCTCAAAGTGTGTGCTTCGTCTATGGGACAGTGTAGGGACACAGGGAAACACACTGCCTTGCCCTCAAACATAACGGTAAAATAATAATTATAATAATAATACTTTGGGAGGATAATCATCCTTATTATATAACCGACATACAGATCCTTGTCATTTGATTGGCGGAACTCGCATCACGTGTCATTCGTTATTACTGCCATTCACGCCGGGGCTCAAAAAGTACCATCCACCCATGGGAAATGGGAAATACTATTGAACAGTTAGGATCAGTCTTGTTCCATGACGCGGTATTTGTGTGCAAATGCATGCTGGTGTGCGCATTCAGCGTTGCGCGTAGCGCGTATTGTTCCAAAGAGCCAGCGCTACAGCGTTGGGTTCAAACATTTTCGTGAAGTTTGGAAGTGAGTGGTTTGGGGTGGTTTCGAAGAGAGAAATACATTTTTCACCAATTTCGTATTGAAATAATAGTTCAAATATATCAAATGACAAGGATCTATATGTCAGTTATATAAAACAAATATTGAGTGGCTTTAAATTGCGAAATGAGAGGAATATTATCGCTTGGTAAAATCTGGACTTTTCCAGTTCACTCGGCTTCGCCTCGTGAAATGGAAAAGTCCAGATTTTACCTTGCAATAATATTCCTCCCATTCCACGCTGATCCACTCAATATTTGTACACTAGCAGCTGATAAGCTGAATTGCTAAGGACGCGGCTATAACGTGGTGGAGCCGCTGGCTTGTAAAGGCTCCTCTGGCAGCCAGCCGCATCAACCCATATATGACCACGGAGCACAGCCTGAGATTGAAAGTGTTTGATTTTTCAAGAGGGAAACAAAGGGCCCGAAGAAAAACCCTCGTGGCACAGGAGAGAACCAACGCACAACTCTATTCATGTATGGCATGTATGGTCCGTGGACGGGATTCGAACCAGGGCCACAGTGGTGAGAGGCAGGCGCTTTACGCACAAGCCACCCATGCCACCAAAAATATACGACCATGGCTGAGCGTACATGGCACCTTAAAGGGAATATACATCATTTGCTTTTGCTGTAATTTTCAGAAATGGATGGAATTGGGGTGTTGGAAATATATAGCAAATATAGTTACACTGACTTTTTTGAGGTTTTGGGTTCAAAAATGCTACAAAAACCAAGAAAAACAATCATTTTCCTGTAGTCTGGTTCCCTGACTCCATTTAAGAAGAATCAGAGCAGTTTACATACATTGGGGAATTGTAAGGTCAGGGAACCAGTCTAGCTGGCTTGTACTTGTTCATAGGTGTGTAATCAATTGCAAACAAGTGCGATGGTCAATTGGGGCCAGTATTTGGAAAAAAAGTTTTTTCCAACGCTGATCGGCCGATCAGCGTTGGAAATTGATACAAAAATACCACTTTTCTTGAAAATGACAGTATACCAGGTGCAATGATTTTACAGGATGCTTTACACTGTCATTCACTAACAGTCCAGCAAGGTATTACAAAATGATTTGGTAGTTTTATTATTTGATGTTTGCAAATGTTGTATTTTCCCTTTAAGTGAGTGAATATGCATGCAGTGTCCCTCCCACTGGGGCTTTTAAAAGTGGTCATAAGGCTTCATCTACTATTTGAACACAGAGTGACATTCCACATTTAAAAGTACACGTTTAAAATTCACTAGACGTGCAACTGGGAAGTCACACACAAAAAAAGGAAATTCAAATCTATCCAAGACTTTGTACAGTGTTTTTATATTTCTAATGGCACATTGGAAGTAAAAAAAAAGAGGAAATCAGCTGCTCTGAGGAAAAGCTGCATGCCTAAATTTACATGTAAAGGGGGCTTGAATAACAAACACAACTGATTTTTATTTTTGAAAAATCAAGCTGTTCATGTAAATCCTCATAACAGTGAACCAATCCAAAACCCACCTCTTGTTTCTCAAGTTTATTCTGTTCTTCTATCCTCGTCATGATTTCTGTCATGTTGGTTTCCAGAACCATGCCGCCCATCACAAGCTCTGACAAGATATTGTGCACCTACATGTAGGCCAAGAATTCAGATGTTCAATGTAAACCCAAAACAACCCAAAATACTGGATGCTGAAAGGCATATAGGATCATTCGCATTTATCCCAAAAGTAACGCACCAAATTATTATCAAAAAGCTTACATGGATCTATAGATCGTAGTAGTACTAACTAAACAACTACACATATTATTTGTGGGGGGGGGGGGGGGACTGGGGGGGGGGGGGCTTATACCATCTTCCAAAATAGGGGACGCTTTTCAAAACCGGCCATTGTGCAAACTACGCATTATGTGCCCATTTTCAGGGCGCATTGTAAGGGTTTGGGGGCTGGTTTTCATATCCCTCGTTCATATCAGGACTCTCTATATCATTTTGGGAAATGGTTACTGAAAACTTACTGAAAACAAATTATCCGAAATTTTAGGGCAAGTTTTGTTTTCATCTGGAGGGGGCACATTTATGTCCGCAAGATAGAGGGGCACTTGGGTAAAACTGGGGGGGGGGGGCATAAAAGACAAGAGTGCAAGTATATTAACATGAACATAATGATATCTGCAACACATATTAAAGGTCTATCATTTTTTCCCCCCAAACTACATGTAAATGCAGTTGATGCAATGCAAATCAGTGAAATAGAATATGTTACCTTATCTACATGGAATATGAGGTCCAACTCGCAGACATTCTCAAAACACTTGTCAAGTGTTTCAACAAAAACCTGCAACATTATACACAAAACAAAATGATTATAATTTTAAGTTATCTGTGAAATAGTGAAATATTCATTCGATTATTAAAACTTCGAACACTTCTGTAAATCAAATATTCAGAAAATGTTATCTAGTTGAATAAAAAGTACGAAAAAAAACAACTTGATAATTGTTTTGCCTTGTTCATTGCTGGCTACCAACAGTAATTATTTTAGTTAGAACTTATTATTTAATTGGGGCATGTGTGGCCTAGTGGTTAGGATTCGTCAGAGGGTCAGGGGTTTGAAGCCAGCTGCTGTGTCCTTGGGCAAGCCACTTCACCCCCACTTGCTTCTCTCCACCCAGGAGTGTAAGTGGGTACCAGCATTAGCTGGGGAGTAACCTGCGATGGACGAGCATCTCATCCAGGGGCAACAGAAATATTCCTAGTCGTTTCATGCCACTGAAACCGGAGATAAATGCTGGACTGATTGGCCACATTGGCTTGTAACAAGACTTTATTTTTACATGTTATTATTTAAAGGTAATATGCAACATTTGCAAACATCAAAAAACAAGACTACCAAGTATGAAACACGTTACTTGACTGTAAGTGAATAATAGCCTCAAGCATCATGTGAAATCATGGCACCCCCATGGTGTGCTGTCATTTTAAAGAAAATTTGACTTTTCGTATCAATTTCCAAGGATGGTCGGCTGACCATCGTTGGAAAATAAAGTAACTTTTTTCCCCTAATACTGCCCCAATTTACCAAATTTGGTTAGTCAACAATTTCTTTGAAATCGGTTACACGTCCGTGAACGGGTGCAAGCCAGCTTGTCTGGTTCCCTAACCTGACAATTACCCCACGTTTATAAATTGCTCTGAAACAATATTGTCCACGCTATAACTTGCTCTAGTCTGGATAACACTTACCTGTATTAAATCTAAAATGCCTAGTTCACTCTCTGACGAATCCACACAAAAGACAAAGTACAGAGTAGCATAGTGTCTATAAACAAGCTTAAAATCAGAACCGCCAATCAATCTGAAAAAAAGCGAGGAAAATCTTGTTTTATACCTAAAAAGAAATGATCTGACACAGTTGTTTTTCCACATCACCAATGTACATGCAAGAACACTTTAACCCTAAGCCTACTAATGCAACAGAAAGCAACAACGGCAAAGAGTTGTTGCATACTGTTGCATTTAGCAGGCAACTCAAGTCCCTGCGCTCTGTTGCATCTTGTTGCATTTAGCAGGGTAACTTTTCATAGTCATGGTGCCAAGGCGTTACAAGAGTATACACTGTTGCAGTTTGTTGCATTTAGCAGGGTAAGGCCAAAACAAATAATAACTCGGTCTCTGGTCAGCGCGCGCGTCGATTTTAATCATGCGTATCAATCTTTTTTTTTTCCAAAATGTTCCGCGGTAGCTCCAACTCAATTTTTCAAAGAGCACCAAGGAATGGGAAATTGCACCGTGACCAAAGCAAATGATCGAGAGCACCAAGGCAAATTATGGAGGACACCAATGTACATGAGGACACCAAAAAAGCAAAATAGCAGTCCTAGTACCCCACCTTGTCTGTACAATCCAAGCTTGAAGAAAAAAACCCAAAAAGCCACACACAAAAAAAAAAGCCGCGTCGCCGCGTCAATTCCGGAACTTTGGTCTGACCAGAGACAGAATATTTTTTGTTTTGGCCTAACTGCTTGGTACCAAGGTTGGTGTGCACTGGGTTCACTGCACAATGCAACAGAATCCACTCTTGCAGTTTGTTGCATTTAGCAGGGTTTTTATTTGAGTTGCGTTGGATATTGTAATGTAAGTTACATTTAGCATGGTACCTGAAGAATACCCGATGGGGGATAAGGGTTAAAGGGCACTTGTAGTGTAATTCTTTTAATGCAATCCCTGAAAATGCACCTTTGCGTCATATTTAACTTTATTTTCAGTGTTCATTTTGCCCTTTTAAAGGGTACTCTTGGCCCTTTTTTTGGTTTTATACTAATGCAAATTTTCATATGTTTTTCATATTCACGTCCAAGAAAGTGTCATTTTGGGCGGAATTCTCAAGTGTTACAGTCAATTCAGCACCAAAAGATGCCAGAATTTGGGATATTTTGCCGTTCTAAATGTTCTGCTTTTGGGTGATTTGTTTGTTGTTTCAGTACATGACAGTGTTTAAGCCAATGAGCGAAGTATTCTCACAAAACGTTTTCGATGAGCAAGTTTTTGTAAATCAAAATTTGAACAGAAAACCCATAAACTGAACAGTGTCTTCCTGATATGACATCGCAGCAACACTGCCCTCAGTTGTCCAGGAAACTTTTAAATGTTTGAAGAAGTGCACTTTTCAATAAAATTAACCGAAAAGGGGTGTCAAATAGTTTTCATACATTTAAAGAAGTACATGTACGTTTAGGAAGTTGCACAAAATGTGTTCCTAAAAAAAATTCTTTTAATGGACCCTTTAATAATTAACTCCTTAAATTTACAGTACGAAAGTGTGATACTTACGTTCCCCCTTCTAAGAAATTGCACACATTGTCATCCCTTTTGGAAACCAAATGGAATGTCTCTCTGATGATCTGTTGCTGCATATCTTCATTCTAAATAAGAGGGTAAAAAAATGTAAAAATGTAAATTCACAAATGTGATCCAAATGTGTTGCACACAGCACCTTACCTGACTTGGCGTATTGCGTGTGCACATGATCATATTTGCTCACTAGACTCGCTATTTTATTTTGTCTGCGCAATGCCAAATGAACAAAACAAACTTAACTAACAATAACATCATTGCAAATATAGGGCCTATGAACCCAGCGGCAGTGAATTAGGTTAAACGGTTTTCAAACGGGGGGGGGGGGGGGGGGGGGGAGACCTTTCTATACTTTATCTCTTGACATACTCACGTATCTTGTGCGGAACTAACATAGGTGGATTCTGTCGGTTTTTAGGCCAAAATGATGAAAAATATGCCCTTTCCGCATTGAGCCAACCTGACACTTGAAACGTGCACGCATTATGATCGAGCGATGATTTTCGGTTCGCTCGGAGCGCGTCGCGGGGGGTACGGTACATGCACTTGTACGCATGCACATACTATCATTTCGCTTGTACCGTACACCCCGCGGCGCGCTCCAAGCGAACCGAAAATCATCGCTCGATCATATGCGTGCACGTTTCAAGTGTCAGGTTGGCTCAGTGCGGAAAGGGCATATTTTTCATCATTTTGGCCTAAAAACCGACAGAATCCACCTATAGTTCCGCACAAGATACGTGAGTATGTCAAGAGATAAAGTACGGAGTATAGGGGCAAACTGTGCAGCGGTTCTGTGTGAAATGGCTGCATTTTGATGGGCGTTTTTGTACTTTATTAGTGTTTTGTGCTGCAGGCAATTTTGCGGGCTTCTTGATCTATGAGGCTCCGCTCACGCGGAGTCATAGTTCTAGGAGTAACATAATAATACTCACAAAATGGGTGTAGAATTTCGACAGTCTTGGTTTCCCATGGTTGTTGAAAACTAAAATTGCTTTAATCATCTCGATGGAAACTTTCACTGTTGATTTCGGTCAGAATTTCCGATTTTTACCTTAAAACAAAGGGACTCAAAATCGTGTACTATACTACTACCGTAGTGTACTATTGTTGTATATATCGTACATGTAATTGCATTGCCCGTCATGCCCGTCACCAGCCTAGACAATTGACGTCTTTCACATGTAAATAAAGTCAATGGGGACCGTGAGGCGAAAACTAGACCAATTTTTTTCCGGCTATTGAGGGCGTTGTGATTTTAGGACTTTTCATCAAGGGCTCTCAAAAGAGGGCGCGCTATCGGTAACGCATCGGGTTGCAAAGCGGTAAATAAACTTCCATAGACCCCAATGGTAAATGCTGCACACTTCAGAAATTCGGGAAAAATACTCACAACTCTCCAAGGTATTCGAGACACACATCAAATTAAAGCTTATTTCATCATCTTTCATTTTCTTTGAATTTTTTTGGGGGTTAACTGATGACTTTTAGGAGAAATTTCCATCCGAAGATGATCACCCCTGAAAATAGTCCTGAAGCCCATCGCCATGTTGAAAAACGATGCCTACACTCCACTGCAAAATAGAGCGCTTTAAGGGCCCCAATTTCATACAAATTGAACGGAACTACAAGCTCACAGTCATGTGCATGGCTTCCACCCATATTTTTTACAAACCCTCAAGTTCATGGCCCACAGCATGCTCAAATACTGAAGATTTTGAGGGCATGCAAATCGTGATTTGGCCGGCGCAGGCAATTTCGGACCGATTTACTGGTCGGTTTCTCACATATTTAATATGGCTCTATAGTTTCTCTTAATAATTTTCCGCTTTGTGCGTTTTTTTTATTTGAGGGAACAAAATTGCTCAAACAGAACGACACAGAACGATACAGGCAGAATAAATTCACAGGGTATTTGGTACCAGCCCTCACTTTGAGCACGGGCCGTTTTCTCATCAGATTGGTATTTTAGTTGCGTATCCGCCGGTAGTAGGCCCTATACCTTACCAATGTTACAATCACAATTTTCCACTACGCCCTCAACCACCGTGGCAATACGCCCATGTGCCATAGCCACTTCGCCCTCATGCCATTTTGCCCACGCGCATCGTGTCACTTCGCGCATTTGCCACCGTTCGCCCAAGCGCCACTAGTCCGGTCCGTGCGCCACTTCGCCCCTTATATACCCTATCTCTAACCTATAATTGCGTTCGGCCGTTGAGCGGGGTAGCGAATTAGAACGTAATGTTGTTGTTCTGAACTATCACTCTGCTACGCGGATGGATAATTAATAGGGGTGATCAGGTGCACTGGAATATAAGCTAGGGTGTGTCAAGAATATGCCATCTGCGTACCGACGGGCACAAAGAAACAATCAATTAATTTAATCGACGTCGCATATCAACAAGGGCGTTTTCCTACCTTCATAAATGAACGAAAACTTGCGCAGCTACAGGAAAACAGACATATCCTCATATTCAAAACATAAACTATGACAGTAAAAATAACGTTTTAGTCTTGATAAGAAAAAAATATAAATATCATTTGTGTCTGAATGTCTGTGTGAAATCTCTGGTTCTTACTCAGCTCAACAGCTTAAAAAACGGCATTCCACGGACAGCTGCTGTAAAAATGGACTCTTTTAGTAAATTATGCATAATGACTTTGTATAGCATGGATCCATTTCAGTATGATGTACTTCCTTGTGTCAAATGAGTGGAAGAACATGTTCGTTTAATATGCTTCCGGGTGATGGGTCAAGTTTAATTGCTTAAAAAGGGGAAACACTCATTAATCCAGGGCACTTTCTTTTGACTCACCCTGTACTTTCTCTTTCAATTCCTGTTATCGCCTCTTTTGTTTGATGCGGCGCTTGCCACCCGCGCTCCCCTATATGCAGACCGAGCCAGCATACCGCGGGAACAAGATCTGTGACTGCACAACCGTAAGTTTAGCCAATTTACCCTTTTCAGGTGTGTCTATATCAATTTTTACAAAAACAAAAGAGAACAAGAAAGATTTTCCGAACTTACCAATCTGATTTGATCTCGAACATTCTCTGCATTATGTCGTCAAGGGAACTTTAATTGCAATTAAATTGCATTAAAGATGTTAGAATTCATCCATGTTTTCAAACATGTGCCAGACATTTTTTACGACTGTATTCAGTATTTTCTTTGTTTGCGCAAACGGGATCGCTTTTTGGGGGTACATTATCCCGCTTCTATACTTTTGGCTCCGCACTCATTCTTTCAAGAGGATCCCGATTCTCGATTCTCGATAGTTTATTTTATTTTTTTTTAATTTGTTTTTGGCGTTCAGGAATGGTTAACTGAACCTAACATTTTGGAGGCGAACGGATACACTACTGTAGCATCCCGTGTTGTGCTCGAATTTTAGAGGCCATGCACAACTCTGAATAAATGATATTACAAAAATCATTTAATCTTTGATTTTCCCCATCAATTTATACCCCTTTATTTGGTTAAATATTGACCGACTTCGCTTTATGCCTATACCACTGAAGTCATCAGTGACACAAATTAACGCACAGCATCAATTCCAGACGACATGAATTTTAACCATCACGATAAACTTTCAAAGAAGTAAAAGTTGAGCATTAAGGCAGAATTATACAACTTTTGTATTAATACCTGATGGGATATTGTTACAAAATGCAGGGTATATATATATAGGTCTTTCTAGTGATACGAGATTACCACACGCGGTCATCCTTTCAACGGTAGTCAGTGCATTCCAAACAACTATACCTTTTGCAGGTGTCGAATTTGGACTTCATAAAACACGGACTCTTGACCTTTTTACTATACAATAAATTCATAATAATGCACGTATGCGCATATATGGTAATCAGTAATAAAAAAGTAAAATCAAAAGTAATGAGCCCGTGATTCAGCCACGGTGAAGCACGCCGCGATTCAGCACCGCGCTCCGGCCCGATTTTGGTGGACGGCCAGACGTACCGGTACCCCGCGAAGCACACAGATATTTTTTTCCCCACAGGAGCCCTGCGTCCTTTACCCTCGTGCGCACTGGTCACAAGCAATTTTTAAAGTTTTTATTCTGTGCCCCCCCCCTCAAAAAAAACCACACTAGGCCAGAAAGTAATGCCTATGGAGGGGGTTTTCTAAAGAAAAAAAAGCGACAATTCCTGGACAAATTGAGAGAAAATGACCCAAATTTGTGGACCCCTGTACATTTTCAATGGATTGCTTTCGCTTCTCGCCGCCTGGCCCATTCATGCGAATTGGTGTATAATTATCAATTTATTGGTAAAAAGGTGTATTGGTTGTATTGTGCATGCTTCAGTGGACATGGTTAGAACAGTGACTAGTCATGTGTAAGGGTACAGTGCATTATAAGGTAAGAGAGACCAGAGACTTCATATGACACTGGGCCGACATTCTGCGACAGCAATAACGTGACTCGCGTGACTGTGACGTGACTGCTCATTCTGCACAGCTCTCTCAATATAATTGCTCGTAAATATTTTATAATTTAGCTTGAAGCGATGCTGAGGTTTGTACTAATATACAATATATATACGTGTTCCAAAAGAAGTTGATAATCAACCTTTAATTGATTTTGTTTTAATAGCTTAGTTAAATTTATTGACAGTCTTGGTTTCCCATGGTTGTTGAAACTAAAATTGCATTCATCATCACAATGGAAACCTTCACTGTTGTGCATTAGAGGCACTCAAGGGCGGATCCAGGGGGGGGGGGCCAAAGGGGGCCATGGCCCCCCCCCAAAACGAAACCAATTTTTTTTTTTTTTAATGTGACATCGCAATAAAGGCAGGCAATGAGTACACCACCATCTTTTCCTCAAAAAAATTGGTTAAAGTGGTCAGAAATTGCCTCAGATCGCACCACAGAGCATCTAGAATCCAAACAATTTTCGGGGCCCTCACGGACCCCGAACCCCACGCCGTAATTTTAGACCCACTTTTTTGGGGGGGACCAAAATTTTTTTGGCCCCCCCCCCAAAAATTGTGTTCTGGATCCGCCCTTGGAGGCACTTGCTACTGCTGTATATACATGGAACAGATTAGATTACAGTTGGTATATTACGTGCTTAAATTTCGATTTTCTTTTCCGAACGAAATTTAATGGAATATAATGTCCTGTAAAAAAAAAATTGCTTGTTCGTTTTTGCAGGCCTTAGTTTTAAAAAGTGGTTTTAAATGGCGCGTTCCAGTTCAGAAACTGCGCACACTATTCAGACTAGGAACGTCCCGCTCTCAATTCAAAAATTGAAATTAATTAATTGATTACTTGTCGTTGGCCGATGTTTTCGTGCGATCTCATTGTAAAGCTTATAACTAGAAAATTATCAATTCAATTTGAAAATCTATTTTTCAAGGTGCCACACCCAAAAATAACCAGCTTCAAGCATTTTGGACTGGTGGTTTGATTCACTTTAGCCAGCATGTTCTCCATTTCTGTTGCTTCTCCGGATATGATTACCTCAATGTCGTGAGCGAATCATATCATGTGATGAAGCTTTTTCCCCTCAATGATGTTTATCCCTTTCCTTACCAGTTGGCTGGAATACTTCTTCAACTTAATTAGGGCTGTCCATTTTGGAATACTTTAGTATTCGATTATTTGAAACTGTGTTTGACCGAATATGCGAATATTCGGATCTCACCAATCAAGTTGGCTGCAACTGCGTGCCATGCCAGCAAAATGTTGCACGCAAAGTGCACCGGGTAAAATGTGTGTGCATCAATCGATGTTATTGGCCGCGGCGATAATGCCTTGAAGTTAGTTTATACATAACTGTCAATGGCTTTAGCCTGCTAAAAGGATGAGAACAATGAACCACCGTTACCATTGACAAAACAAATTGCTGTCATCGTCGACAAACAGTGGCATCTGACAAATACATTGCCACAACTTTATGAGTTTTTTTATATTCGCACTGGTAAAAAGCTATTTGAATATTCGGTTGATGATCGAATATTCGAATATTCGGCACAGCCCTATCTTCAAACAACTTGTACTGTACTTCTTCATCGTGTCATTATCATACTTTTGTTCATTGTTAGGTGTATGTATGTCCGTTTTTGTTATCTGTTAGATGTAC